CCCCCCCCCCCCCCCCCCCCCCCCCCCCCACTGTGCCAGCCTCCTTTGTAAGCGCTCAGAGAGTTAAAAGGACACGCTGTGAATCTATTAACCGCACAGTCTCTGGGAGTCTGGGAAAGACACATCTCCGTTCTCCGCCTCCCCCAACAAGACCCTTGGCATCTCTCTGTTCTCGGGCCGCCTAGAAAGACGTGGCGCTTGGGCTGGGCGCCCAGCCCAGAGCGTTTGACCCAGAACGCCTGTGCCCCCTGCCTCCCCCGCCTCGGGCCGCCCCCCCCCGCGCCCCGATCCCCCGGGCCCCCCCCCCCCCCCCCCCCCCCCCCCCGCGGCTGAGCGGGAAGGTCTGGGCTGCCGGGCCCAGCACCCCCAGCTTCCCTTCCTCCGCTGCCATCTGATTGTGGACCCTGCTCACACCTCCCGCGCTGCTGTTTTAATTAAACTCCGAGGAATCAGGCACAATGTGGTACTCGATGAACATTTTTGTTTAATTAGGAGCTCTCGGTAACGTCAGGCGGCCGCGGCCTCCCCCACCCTGGCTGGCTGCCGCCCACAGGCACTCACGGGGGCCCCTCGCGGGGCTGCACGCACCCAGGAAGTGCTCATGTGTGGACACGCGTGGGGTGCGGGTGCATACGTGGGTGAGCACGCATGCACACTTGTGCACCCGTGCACACACACACACACACACACGCACAGGAAACGGGTGCACAGAGGGACACCAGCAGACCCAGCCCCCAGCACGCCTGGGCCAGCTTTGAACACCAAGAATTGAGGCCCAGTTGTCTTGGCCCGAACCTCCGGTGACGTCATCAGTAGCCAATCAGAACCATGTATGAGGTGGTCCAGGCCTCGGGCCGGGAAGAACAAACTGGGTGTGGAACGAGCTCAGACAGGATCCAGCCACCCCATCCGACCCCACAGGTCCAGGCCCGACTTGGGGGTTCTGCAGATGCCGGCTACACCCAGCTTCCTCCAGGCTTAGCCCGGCCTGGGTTCAAATCCCAGCCTTGCTGTGTCCTGGCTGTATGACCCGGGCAGGTACGCATGTGTTTGAGCCTCAGTTTCCCCCTCTGAGAAACAGATCCCATCTCAGAGGTGGGCACAGAAAGCTACCTTACAGGGTCTGGTACATAGTGCTCAGGACTTGGGACTGGGGCCGTCTTCCTCTACGAAGCGACCCCTGCCTGGGCCGGAACCACAGCTCTCTTGTTTAACTGGGGACACAGGTGATGGTGCCCCGGCCAGGCTCTCCCTTACCCCGTCTTGGCCTCCTGCCCCTTCCATGTACCTGGGTCTCTGTTCCCTCCCCACATGGTGGCCTCTGGCCCACCTCTTCCCAGCCCCCTGTCCATCCCCCAACACACCCACCATGCCCGGTGCCCCTCCTGGGCATTTGTAAGCAAATACACATTTATTATTTCCTTTTTACGCAAATAGCGGCTTTATCTTTACCAAGAGGCAGCAGGCTTCTTCTATAAAACACCAGAGTGAATATTTTTGACTCTGCAGGCTAGACAGCATCTCTTGCAACTTCTCAGTTCAGGAAAGCCATGTAGATGATGAGGAAACCAATGGACGTGGCCGTGCACCAATAAAACTTTATCAACAAAAACAAGCGGGGCCCCAGGTTTGGCCCAGGGGCTGTAGTTTTTTGTTTCTGTTTTCTTTTAATTAATTAATTTGGCTGCGCCGGGTCTTAGTTGCAGCACGTGGGATCTTTCATTGCGGTGCATGGGCTTCTCTCTTGTCGCGGCGTGCGGGCTCCAGAGTGCACAGGCTCAGTTGCAGCACGCAGGCTTAGTTGCCCCGCAGCATGTGGGATCTTAGTTCCCCGAGCAGGGATCGAACCCGCATCCCCTGCATTGGAAGGCGGATTCTTAACCACTGCGCCACCCGGGAAGTCCCAGGGGCTGTAGTTTTTGATCCTTGGTCTACACGTCTTTCACACTGAACTCTGTCCACTTAGGAATGCATCTTGGAGTTTGTTACGAATCTGTCTGTAAGGCGATTCCTTCTGCTTGTTTTGGGGACCCATCCGTAGATGGCCCAGGTCTCTGTTGACAGGTGTTTACATTGTCGCCAGCATTTTCCCGTTACTGTCAGTGCCTCAGGAATACCTCTGCCTTCCTACTTGAGTGCACGGGCCTGGGGAGCCAGCCGCTGAGCTGAGGGCTCGGGGGGTCTCAGGTGGATGGTACCAACTCGCCCCTTCTGGTCCCGCTGTACCAGCGAACATTCCTGCCAGCTGTGGACTCGCAGGCCTGTCTCTCCTCGGTCTCATCAGCCCTGCGTGCGATCACTTTTTTGTCACTTGTCCATCAGGGGTGGGGCAGGGACTGTGTTAGTTTGCTAGGGCTGCTCTGACAAAGTACCACAGTCTGGGCGGCTTACACCACATGTGTTTTTCAGTCTGGAGGCCGGAGGTCCTAGATCAAGGTGTCGGCAGGGTTGGTTCCTTCTGAGGCCTCTCTCCTTGCCTCAGAGACAGCCGTCTTCTCCTGGGTCTTTACATGGTCTCCACTCTGTGTGTTCTTAATCTCCTCTTCTTACGAGGACACCAGTCGCGTTGGATGAGGGTCGCCCTAATACCGCATTTGACTTAATGACCTTTCTAAAGACTCTGTCTCCAAATACAATCTAATTCTGAGGTCCCGAGGGTTAGGGCCTCAACCTATGTATTGGAGGAGGGGGGAGGTACACATTTCAGCCCATAACAAGGGGCTAGTGGCTGTTTTAATTTTAGCTGAGGAAGCCTGCCCTACCCCAGGGGACCCTTTGTCCACTGGAGATGACAGGCCAGACCAGAGCTGGGGGTTTTAGGGGTGAGAGCAAAAGGATCCAGGAGTCCAGGTGCTGGAGGGGGAGGGCAAAGGTGCAAGAGGGGGTGGGACCTGGTGGGAGGCTGATGAGCTGCATGCCCCACCCTGGCATCAACTCCAGCTGAGTCAGGCCATGGAGCCCATGGTGCGATGTGCAAATTACATGAACGAAGGCCACCCACCCCATCGCCTCAGGCCAGAACCACATTCTTCTTTTTTTAAAAAAATTTTTTATTGGGATATAATTGACTTACAGTGTTGTATTAGTATCAGCTGTACAGCAAAGTGTATCTGTTATACAAATACGTATATCCACTCTTTTTGTTTTTAAAATTTTTGTTTTAAATTTGTTTATCTTTGGCTGTTGGGTCTTCGTTGCTCCGCGCGGGCTTTCTCTAGTTGAGGCGAGCGGGGCTACTCCTCGTTGAGGTGCACGGGCTTCTCATTGCGGTGGCTTCTCTTGCTGTGGAGCACGGGCTCTAGGCACACGGGCTTCAGTAGTTGTGGCACACGGGCTCAGTAGTTGTGGCACGCGGGCTCAGTAGTTGTGGCACATGGGCTCAGTAGTTGTGGCACACGGGCTTCAGTAGTTGTGGCACACGGGCTTCAGTAGTTGTGGCTTGCAGGCTCTAGAGCACGGGCTCAGTAGTAGGCACACCTGCTGTGTGCCAGGACCTGCATGGGGTGGTAGGGACGTGGCGGAGAAGTGGATACATCACGATCCATGGAGTTTGACGCTTGGATGTTCTGGAGTCCAGGAGAATTTTTTATGATTATTGTTATTATTTTGGCCGTGCTTTGCGGCATGCAGGATCTTAGTTCCCCAACCAGGGATCAAACCCATGCTCCCTGCAGTGGAAGCATGGAGTCCTAACCACTGGACCGCCAGGGAAGTCCCCAGGAGGATTTATAACTTGGGGCCACGAGCTAGCCTGAGGTGACCAAGGGGTGATGAAGGAGGGGGCGTGATGACTTTGGGGACCAAGGTGACTGGTGTGGCTGGATGGAGAGAGCGAGAAGTGTGAGGCTGGCATGCGACGGGGCAGCCGAGGCCGGTGGGGGCCAGTGTCGGGCAAGAAGGCTGGGTTCCTCCAGAGGGTGGAGTGGGCCACTGGCAGCGGGGGGGCGGTGTGGTGCCATTTACATTCCAAAAAGCTCCTTCTGGCTGCTGTAAAGTAACCCAAGGGTTTTGTAGCCTCTGCGCTGCTGACATCGGGGCTGGATCATCCTCTGCAGGGCCGTCCTAGGCGCTGGGAGGGGTGGCGCTGTATCCCTGGGCCCACCGACTCAATGCCAGGAGTGACAACCACAGATGTCCCCAGACATGGCCCAGTGTCCCCTGGGGGCAGGATCGCCCCAGGACAGAGGTACTGGTCTAGCCCGATGTTCTCCCAGCAGTTCCCCGACATGAGACTGATCTTTCTCACAGACAGAGAAAGGAACAGGCTACAGGAGGTCACCCAGCCAGGCAGGGGCTGGACCCAGGGCCCGTCCCGGAGCCCCACCCTGGTGGCATGGACTTGTGACAACTGGGCCTCTGCTTTGTTTTTCCCATCTCCACCCTCAGAGGACCAGCTGCCCCCTGGTTTCCCCAACATCGACATGGGCCCCCAGCTGAAGGTGGTAGAGCGGACACGGACAGCTACCATGCTCTGTGCTGCGAGTGGCAACCCTGACCCCGAGATCACCTGGTTCAAGGACTTCTTGCCCGTGGACCCCAGTGCCAGCGATGGACGGATCAAGCAGCTGCGGTCAGGTGAGCACAGGTGGCCAGGAGGATGTGGCAGCCACAGAGGGTGGGAGGGGGAGGGCGGCATCCCAGGACCCAAGCCCTGGGGACTGATGGAGGACAGAAAGGCAGAGCGGATGTGCAGACACGGAGGGCATCGGTATTGGGGGAGAAAGTGTCTTCAGAGCTGAACCAGTGGGGATGTGATAGGATATAGACGGGCAGGGGTAATGGGGAGCTATGGCGGATGGTAGGGGGAGAGTTCTTCAGTGCCTGCATGGAGATATAATGGACCCCGATATGTACAACGATGGGCAGCTGCAGAGGCCGCAGGGGCAGAGGGTCTCCAGTACCCAAGCAGTGGGGTCCTAATGAGGCACAGGTAGTTGCGGGTGATGGAAACCCACAGAGGAGGGTGGGTGTCTACAGTGCCCCAACAGTGGGGACACAGTGGGGGAACAGACAGGCAGAGGTGATGGGGAGCCATGGAAGGTGGCAGAGGGAGGGTATCTTCTGTGCTAAAGCAGTAGACTTGTCCAGTGAGGATATAATGGGGTCCAGACAGGTAGGAGTAGAGGGGAGCATAAGGCAAAGGCAAGAGAGTATTTCCAGTGCTGAAGCAGTGGGTGTCTCCAGAGGAGATAGTGGGCATAGATGGGTAAGGTACTGGGGAGCCGTAGAGGGCTGCAGGGAGAGAGTGTCTCCAAGACTGGAGCAGTAAGGACGTGATGGGGCACGGACAGGCAGTCCAGCCTGTTTGTCCAGGCCCCGGCCGGGATAGGGGAGCCTTGGACAGAGCACAAGGCCTTGGCCACCTTGGGGCCAGGCACTTCCACAATCGTGTCTTAGCACAGCACCTCTGTGCCCTTGTCTGTGGGTCCATCTCTCTGGGGGGCTGTGTGTGCCTCGTGTCGGCTGTCTTAACTGCCTCACGAACGTCCGCGTGTGTGTGTCCGGGCTCCCTGTGTGTCCTGACCTGCTCCGCATCTGTGGGCACACACAGGCTGTGCTATCAGCCCAGGGTTGCCTCCCCACCCCACATAGCAGAGCTTGTCCACGTGTGTCTCTGTCACACGTGTATCCGCGTGACAGTCCCTTCCGTGTGCACGTCTCAGGCTGGTCCTTGTGGGCGCGGACACGTGTGTGGTCGGAATGTGCCCACGGGCACTTACGCATGTTTCAGTCACATGGACACGTGTTGGTGCACCCTCTCTTTTCTCTCTCCCCTTCCTCTGAGGGCCCCGCCCTGGAGCCACCCCTGCCTGAAGGCCACCCCATCATTCTCAGCGCCCCTCCCCCCCCCACTCACTGCCCAGTCCCGTCCTCTGAGGAGTCCTGTCTGCCCATCCTCTGCTTTCTCCTTCCCTCAGCAAAGACCCAAACCCTGAAAAGGGGCAGATGTTAAGCCCAGAATTTCTTCCCGGGAGAGACCTGGACCTCGCACTGGGGAGAGACGTAGCCTTTCCCCGTCCCGACCCGTCTGAGGGTATTTGCAGCTTGGGGGGTTCAGCTGGAGGAGCGATGGCAACCTTCGGGATCCAGTTGCTTCTCTGCTGGTTTCCACCATTGTCGCCCCAATATAATGAAATGACTAAGAGCGTGGACCTCGGTGCCCCATCCCCTGGGTCTCAGCGTCCTCCTAAACCGTGCCTATTCCCTAGCGTTTCCGTGAGGGGCCCCTGAGAGGCTGCCTGGCACATAGCAAGTGCTCAGTGAACATCCGCTGCTTTAAAAATCATGATCAAGGGACTTCCCTGGTGGTCTGGTGGTTAAGACTCCGAGCTTCCACTGCAGGAGGCGCGGGTTCGATCCCCAGTCGGGGAACTAAGATCCCACGAGCCACACAGCACGGCCAAAGGAAAAAAAAAAAATTGTAATCAATCTGATCATTATTCTGACCTCCCCTCCCGCACCCACGAGGATACAGGCTTCTGCATAACCACCCGTTAATGTTCCTGTTCTCTTTTCTTGTCCCTCCGTTGTAAACGTTCAGAAACCTTTGGTAAGTTTAATTTCTTCACCACGTCAACAACTAACGCCCCCCCACCATGTCCCCCCTTCCCGTCCCCTCCCCTCAGACTAACGGCCACTGTGACAGTAACTGTGACCCACTCCACGTGGCATGTTTACTAACGTCTCCCCCCACCCGCCCCCCTGCCCCTGACCACCCAGCCCTCCCCATCCGGGCATCCAGGGGCTGCAGAGAGAGGAGCCCAAAAGGAAAAGAGGAAAAAAGACAAGACCACGAGGGGCTAGTGGAGCTTCGCACATACGGCACCCCCTGCCCCATTCTGGGCCTTGACACTGCTGGAAAACGTGAAATTACGGAAGTTTGCGGGCTGGATCTAGGGAGAGGGAGGAATGTTCCAGCTGGGCAAGTACTGGGTGTATCTCGTCCTCTTTTCCCAGCCCAGCCTAAGTCCCCTGAATCCAACTTGCTGGGCTAATTCTTAGTAAGGTAAGAATGACTAATATTGGCCCGTGATAGTAACTTCTCATCTTCCTCGGAGTAGAAAGCAAAACCACCTTTAATACCCAAGAGGTGTATCTTTTCCTCTCAACATAGTGGCCGTGGGCTATTTGGCCATCTTGGGAAGTTCTGTCCTTTGGCCTTTGGCTTCTATCACTTGGACTATGGTGATAGGTCCAAGTGTAGCAAAACAGCCTGAGCCAGAGCTGACCTAGATTCCCACTGACCCAGATTTTCGCTCTCCATGGTGCAGCCTTAGGCAAATTCCCCTCCTTCCTCCTGTCTCCCCTCCCTCCACGTGAAGAGGGGGAGTGGCCCCATTAGGTTGGGGATTTTGTAAGAGATAATATAGGGCCCCCCTAAAGTTCTAGAGGGGCCCCAGCCTGGGAGGCTGGAGAGCTGGGTTCAAGGCTCAGCCCTGCTTCTGACTCATGGCATGACAGTTCCTTGGCCCCTTGTGGGCCTCAGTTTGTTCATCTGCAAAACGGGCCTGGGCCAGACAGAAAGAGCTGTGTTTTCTCACCCTCGGCGGCTTCCCTGCCCTGGCCTTAGGGTGCCCAGGTCCTCAGCAGAGAGGGAGGGGGCCCAGATCTCCCCTGGGAAGATGAACAGAGGGTGGGAAACTCTAGCCCGGCACCACCATTTCTGGTCTCCTGAGGTGTCCCAGCCCCCAGCGCCCATATAGACACATAGATCGTTCTCTTCCTCTTTTCCTTTTGGACATTAAGGAGGCTGCAGGGCCCTCCCTCTGCCCTCCATCCCCTTTCACTGCCCTCCCCTGTCCCTCCTACTTGGCCTTCCCTTTGCTTTATTAATGCCCAGCCCTGGGGCACTAACCCCTCTCTCCCTTCTCTAACAAGACTCCCGAGACCCCCATCATTCCGTGACCCTCCTGAGAAGGAATAGGAGGGGAGGTCGTGGACCTCCCTCCCTCGACCCAGAAGAAAGGCAGCCCACAGGGCCAGGCGAGGCCATGGACCTCCCTGGGGCATGGCCACGCCCCTCAGGCCAGTCCAGAGGGGCTTCTAGACTCAGCCCCTCCTTCCCCAGGAGATTCTTGCCCCCTATGGGAAGCCCTCCTGATCCTCCCTCAGCAAGGCCTGCAGGGTTTGTAGGCCCAGGGCTGCCTCAGCGCCCCCTCCCAGCCCCCGGGGACAGAGTGTTCAGGCCTGGCTCGTGGCCCAGCCCCGCCTCCCTGGGGCCCCCCGGCCCCGCCAGGACTGCCTTCTGACATTCACCTGACTCTCTCTGCTTCCCTTACAGAAAGCACTCCGGTCCGAGGTAAGAGGCGCTTTCCTCACCCACCCACCCACTCACACTCTCTCTCACCGCCCGCCCAGCCCCCCAGGCTCCACGGGGGGCTGCCCCAGGCCCCCCTCCACACGTGTTCCCCTCGCCACCCCGCCCAGTGTCTGTGCAGTCTCTGTGTCTATGTCACTATCTGTGGCTGGGGGCTGAGTGTGGCCGTGGTGGTCCTTTGGGTCACCTGGCCGCGGTCAGGGGGTTGTGTCCTCAGGAAGGGGCAGCGTCTCCCATGCCCACCCAGAGCGCTGGGAGTCAGGCTTCTGACCACTGCTCTGTATGCAGCCCTCATCCGTCCCTAGCCTTGGTATTCCCATCTGTACAATGGACGTGCAGAGGGGGCCTTCCAGCTCTGAAGCTTTGATTTGGGTGGCGGGGCAGGAGGAGTGGAGAGTCCAGCTTGAGGGAGCAGAGGGGCAGTCTCACGGGCAGCCCCATGGTGCTGCCCTTAGAGAATAGACTAGAACAGGCCTGGGTGGGAGCCCTCTAGGGAAGGGTCCATGTCTAGTCCTGACTTTGCCACGAAATGCTGTGTGACCTTGAGCAGGCTCCCTGCCCTCTCTGGGCCTCCATAGTAATACCTGCCTGCCTGCTTCCCTGGAGCCTTGAGGTTGGTATGAAGTGTTATGAAGGGGCAGAAGCCTAATCCACGGCCCCCAGAGAGAACTTCCCGATCTGTGGGTTCCCCTCACTTCCGTGGGACACCCACAAACAAAGCTGGGAGGAGGGGTCCGCTTGGGACCTTGGACTGGATTTTTGGACTCCTGGTGCCAGGGACTCTGATCAAAACCTGTGATTGGGAAAAACAACAACAGCAAACAAAACAACAACAACAGCAAACAAAAACAATGTGTGATTGAAACACATTTGGAGGTATTCCCTCACCTTCATTTACCAGTCAACCAGTCACAGGGTCCAGGACTGTGAGTCTAATGTACTTATAGATATTTACGCAGTTTTATTTACTTATGAAAAGGAGGACTTTGGTCCAGGCCTTTGATTTCAAACGTAACTGTGGAAACCTCTGCCTCATTTTTAATTTGTTCATGGGCACTCAAGTATTTGATCAAGGCCCGCGATTTCAAACATACTTAGAGATGTATTTTACTTGTGAAAATGAAGATTTGTCCCAGGCCTGTGGTTTCAGATATCTTTGGGGAAATCTTGGCCACGTTTTCATTTAGTCATGAGCACCGTAGTATGTGATCAAGGCTCTGTGCTTTTTAATATTCTTAAGAAGGTTCATTCATTTTCACATGTTCATGGGAAGTGAAGTCTTTCATCTGGGCCTGTGATTTCAAACATATTGTAGGAAAATCTGCCCTATTTTCATTTACTTGTGGGCACCAAGACCTTTGATTTGGGCCTGTGATTTTAAATCAGCTTGAGAAAATTGACCTCTTTTTAAAATTCTTATTCACTCATGACCAACAAATTTTTTGATCCAGGTTTATAATTTCAAGCACGCCGGGGGCATTTCAGCCTCAACTTTATTTGCACGGGTTAGAGGTTTTCCTTCACACTTGATTTCAAACACTTTTGAAAATTCTCCCCGTTAAGCTATGAGCACCGTGGACTTGGGTCCCCGTCTGTGATTGCAAACACACTTGAGAAAATTCATTTACTTGTGAGCATCCGGAATCCTGAATCCAGGCCCGTGGTTTTAAAACAGATCTGTGAATTCAGACTGACTGACTTAGATGACTTTAAATCTCTGGGGAAACTCACTCTTCAGTTTCAGGTACAGAAAGCTTGGGTCCAGGCCTTTGCTTTCAAACATACTTGATGTATATCACTGTCAGCCTTCTTAACCTTTGCTTTTGTGGAGTGGTAACCCAGTCCTGAAATTTAAACACCCTTGAAGATATACAACCCTGTCTCCATTTCTGGACACCGTGGGCCTTGAGGCCTGTGATTCCAAACATACTTGAGGAACCCAGACCCACGGTCATTTACACACAGGCACTGGTTGAAACCAGCAGGCGATCACCAGCTCCCTGAATTGGCACATCATTTGTGGTGGCCCCTTAAGCGTCAGGGTCTTTGGAACGGCTGCTATGGGTTGGGACTGCCAACCTGCTTTCCACCCCACCCTCCCTGGAGAACATCACTTGGTGCTTTCCTGAAAACACATTCTCCCCAGTTTTGTCACTCAACTTGACAGTCGTTTACGAGGTCCCGGCTGAGGGTGGAGGGTTTGTGGGGCAGGTGGTATGTTCAGGCCAGGATGGGCCAGGATCGGGGTGGGGAAAGGCAGGCAGGGAGGCCCTGACCCAGTGGGGGCTTCTAGGCTGACTCAGCTGCCTCTCCGGCCCAGATCGACTAAGAGACAGTACTCTGGGACAGCCCTCTCACCACCTCAACCTCGAGGTTTCCCCTAATGGGCCAGGCCTTGTCCCCTTTACCCACAGGAGCCCTGCAGATTGAGAGCAGCGAGGAGACCGACCAGGGCAAATACGAGTGTGTGGCGACCAACAGCGCTGGCGTGCGCTACTCCTCACCCGCCAATCTCTACGTGCGAGGTAGGGAACGCCGTGTCCAGGTCGAAGGCAGGGACCCGCCCCACCCGTCCCCCTCCCTCCTCGGGCTCACAGCCTCCGGGCTCCCCTGTCCCCTGCAGACCCCAGCAGGCAGGCCCAGCCCCGCTTGTGGCCGCGGGACCTTGGGCGAGGCTGTGTCCCTCTCTGGACCTCAGTTTCCTCGCCTGTAAAATGGGGGCAGCTTCAACCCCCACCCCCACCCCCGTGCCTTGTGATGGCCGCCCCGTGGGCTGCAGGACTTGGGGTGGGGGGCGGCAGGAGGGAATGGGGCAGGGCCGGAGGGGTCAGTCGTGGGCCTACAGGGCCGGGGGAGCCTGCAGGCCTCTGCCCCACCCCGCCCGCCCGCCCATCCGAGTCGGCTTCTGTGGTGTGTCGTGCAGTGCCTCCCCTTTGCTGTGTGCTCGCTTCGCTTCTCCAGACTCGTGGCCTCGTAGCTCCCTGCTTCACCGCCCCCCTAATCTAAGAGTTGGGGAGGGGTCTTCAAGGCTGCCCCTGCCAGCCCCACACCCTCAGCTGTCCCAGAGCCTGGTGCTGTCCTAGTCACCCTCAGAGAAGGGATCCTTTAGGCAGACATCCTGGGGCTTGGGCTGAGGCTTGTCAGTTTCCCACTGAGTCACGCCTGGAAGCACAGGGGTCCTTGCCCTGATGCCCCCACCCACCCAAGGAGGGCCTGGGAAGCGGCTACACAAACTTTCTTCTGGGCCCCTTGGTGTCCCCTCAAAGGTGCCAGGTTGGGGGGGGGGGGGGCTGCCCCTGCTCCTAGATGTCTCTGTGGACCCCGTCTCATCCCCGGGTCGGTTCTCTTCGGTCCTTTCAGAAATTTTAATTTGTTTCCTCCTCCATCTCCTGTATCCCCTTGGCTGTTTCTGATCCGATTCGTGGTAGAAACAGCTCCTGCCTGCCAGGAAACAGGGTCTCGTTCATCCCCCCGGGCTGCCCCAATTGGCTCTGTATACTTGAACCCATGCCAGCCTTCTTCAGGCCTCTGTTTCCCCCCGTTCGACGCACCAAGCCCCTGCCGTTCTCCACCTGGGAGGCCGTGCGGCTCCTCCCTCACCCGGAGACCCTCAGCCCCTTGCTCCCCAGTAAGCACGGCCCCAACTAGCCCTGAAGCAGCACCTTGGCTGCACTTGGGTTCTGCATCTCGTCTCTGAGGAGGAAGGAGGCTGCCTGGCGGGAGGGGACGGGGACGCCGGGGCGGGGGCGGGCAGGGGGCACACATCCGATCCGATGCCACGGCACCTCTGGTGAGTTATAGCGCGTCCACGACTCCAACTGACTGGTCTTCGTCTAACCTGCGTATTTCTCTGCGAACACCTGGGATGGGGGTTTGTAAGTCTGGCAGAGTTCAAGGAGGACAGTGTGGGCAGCAGGCATGGGGCAGGGCGGGGGTGGGGCCTCTAGCCCAGGGTGTGACAAGGGAGGGGGGCCTTCTGTGTCCTCAGCACCCCCCGCCCCATCCCAGAGGTGGGGTCCTTTCTTTTGGGGGCGTCCAGCTTCCCATTCTTTGCCTGGGTCTCAGACGCTCCAAAATTGAATTTAAAAAAAAATCGTGGAAGGCAAATGTAGATCTTGTATGTCAAGGAAAGAACGGAGGAAAGACTAAAAGGTCGTTGCTGTTCTTTTTATTTTTTAATTTTAATTTTTTTTTTTTTGGTTTAAAGAAAACAAAAAAAATCAACAAACTATTGCAGCTTTTAGCCTTGGGAAGTCCTCTTTTTACTCTCTGTATCTCCCCTATTTTTTCTCTTCTCCCCATGTCATTGTGTTCTGCATCAAACCCCCTTTACATCCCTCAGAGCTTCGAGAAGGTTGGTGTGTTTTTTTCTTTTTTACTTTCTTTACCCACATTTTTACATTCCGAAAGTGACACACACACGCAAGAAACGCACACAGACAGGCACACGGACACACACAGACATGCACACAGAAAATAATAGAAAAACGAACTAAAAAAAAAAAATGACGAATACGAATAATGAGCTCAACGTGAACAAAACAAAACAAAAAACCACCAAGTGAGAGCAAAAACCCAGAAAGACACAAAAATCTCAGCCGCGCCCAGCCCGGCCTAGGGCCGGCCGCACACATGCGATGCTTGCATTGTGGTCGCCTCTATGCATCCTTTGGTAATGTTGTTGCTAAGTTTTTTGCACTCCTCGTCGTCATGGTAACTTGGGCCTGATGCATGCTGGGAGAATGTAAAAATCTTCTCTGCATGCCACTGTTGTCGGTTCGGTTTGGTGAATTCCCAACGCCTTCTGTTGGAGTGTTTCTCGTCTTCCGTTCCGTTTTTCTCCTTTGGTTTTCTTCGTTTTTTTCTTTCTTCCTTCCTTTTATTTAATTATTAATGTTTTGATTTTGTTTCGTTTGGGGGAGAAAAACCGATTGGTTCGTTTCTTTTTCCCCCCTCCCATCCCCTTCACCCAACCCCCTCCTCCCCCAAAGCGTTTCGTCTTTGGTTCTGTCCTGTGTTTCCGTGCTCTTTGGTTTGGGTTTCTTGGGCTGAGCTGTTGTGTGGTTGTTCTCCAAACGCATTGTGATTTAAAAGCCAGTGTTCCTGTCCCAACTACCATCCAGGAGGGCGGAAAGGGTCCCACAGCTGGGATGCTGGGGCAGAAAGTGACCGCCTGGGCTCAAGAGCACAAGGGAGGTGGCATAGACAGATGGTGGGAGGTCAGAGCCTGGGTGGGGTGTGTGAGGAGAGCAGCCCAATTTGCCAGCTCTGTTTTATCCAGAGCTGATGCCTCAGCCCCACAGGGCAGCCATGTTGGAAGGGAGCTTAAGCAGTCATGTTTCCATCCTTCTGCCTCAGCATGATACCACCTCCCACCCTCCCAAACAACCCCAAAACAGGCATTTGAAGCACAGCTGAATGGGTAGCCGGCATTTTGAGTTCTTGTTCATTGGAGCAACACGTCCAAATATGAGAAATGGCCACCTTTCAGTGGACCGTCCCCCCGAAATGATGCATGCTTGGCACTGCGTAGGCAGTGCTCAACATGGTAGCTGGTGTGATGACTTTTTGCATCCTGGCTGGGTACCAATATGGATCCACCCATCAGAAAATGTAGCATGACAGACTTTGGAAGAACTACTTGGCCAGTTACTCTGCCCTTTTCTGCCCTTTAGTGCTATGCCTCTGCCTCCCAGATGATGTTGGCTGCTTCCCCCACCACCTCACAGGCTCTGGGCCCAGTCACAGGCGTCTTTTGTCCAGCAACACAGCACGGTCACTTTCTGAGTACCTGAGCATCAGAACTGTGGAATTCTGGAGAAAACCCTGGGGAACTTTGGGCACAGCCCCCCCACCCCCCACCCCCCACTTCCCCAGCTCTCCCTCTGCCTTTCTCTCTCTTTTGGCTCTCTTTCTCTGTGTGTTTCTCTCACTCTTGAAACCTTTGGAGATGTTCGCTCCCATCTTCTGTTCCCTCCCTGAGGAAAGGCAAGCCCTTGAGAGCCCCATTCCAACCCCAAATAAAAAACAACCCCCAATAAAATATCCCTTTAGATTTATAGCCACTAGCCCCCAGCTTACTACCCAACACCGATGATAGTGGAGGGCTGAGATCAGCCTGTTTGGGGTCACCTTCTTCTCTCTCTTGTCCCTCACCTGCCTTCTCTAAACTCCCAATTATTAAGTTCAGGGGCAAGTTGGCAAGAGGACTTCAGATGCAATAACAAGGGATTTATTTTTCCTGTCTCTTTTGAATCCAGAGTGAGAGCTGCCAGGCAGAACCTCTCCAAAAGATGGAAGACAGAGGTCTCCCGGCCCCTTCACTAAAGCTGGGTCCCAGTGAGTTGAAACTGACAGGTGGCTGAGGGTCTCTGAAGACTACTTGGACTTTTGGGGCAGTATAGACTGGTGGTGGGAGCACAGACTTGCTGCTTGGGGAGACCTAGATTCAAGTACTGCCTCTGCCCCTCCCTGGCTGTGTGACCTTGGGCTAGTCACTTGGTCGCTCGGAGTCCCTATTTCTTCCTCTGAATAATAGGAAGCATTGATTTCCCTAGCTCACAGGGTAGTTGGGAGGATTCCATCGAGCAAATTAATGCTCATCTTGTGCCCTGTGTAGTGCGTGGCACATAAGAAATCTCAAGTGAAGCTGTGAAACAGGGAAATCGAGTTCAGATAAATGGTCTTGGGCAAGTCACTTCCCTTTGGGGACCTCAGTTTCCCCATCATGTATTTCAAACATCCGCTGTTTGAATAAGATGGCTTATGGGAAACTGCTTTGAAAAGAATTGGAGGGCAGATGTTAATTCATTTGCTCAGATCTCATTTTTTGCTAATGCATTTCTGAGCCCATCTCATGGTCTCATTTTCTCCTGGCTCCAACCCCATTCCCATGAGATCAGTGGCCTCCCCAGAGCCACATCTCTCATCTTACTCCCTGTCACTCCCCCAGGAAGTTCTGTGGCCAGATTATCAGAAGGGGGCAAAAAAAAAAAAAAAAAAGGAACAGTTTGGATGTTAGGCTACGCTTGCAGATAAGTACCAGCCCAGCAGAAGAGAAGAGCCGCCTGGCATGTTCTGGCCTGAAAGCTACAAGCAATTACAGTGTTACCAGAGCAACCAGTCCTGGGAGTTCTTTGCACCGAATCCCCACTCTCAACCTAACTCTTCCTTCAATTCATAATCTCCAGCTTCTGCTGACCCTGGGTGATCCAGGGGGTGGAATATTCAGATTTTACCGTTCTCCTGAAGTATATCTCTGAAATTCAAAGGACCAAGGTCAAAACCAAGCCCGTTTTTTTTAATGCAGCTGGGAGCTCTGCTCCCAGAACTCTCCTAAGGAAGATGCAGCTCAGACTTTGACAGGGTGGGAAGATGATCAGGTTATATTCTCCCTGGCTGTTAATATTCTTTAAAATCTTGAAAATTGTCAGCCTTTAAGGTGTGAATTAGTGGCTAACGATGGTGTCTTTACCACTTGGTCTAGCATCATAGCATTATTGAACCATGGTGCAGGACCCGGTTAAATGGTGTGCCACCCACCCGATGACATAGGAACATGCGGAGAGAACTTGGAGCGACCTAGAGACATGGGAAAGAACTTTCCACCCTCAAGGGACTTAGGATATTCTCAGGATCTTGGAAGAAGCCAGATGGGGATAATTTAACACCAGTTCTCAGTGCTGAGCTAAGAGATCGGGACTCTATAAAATGCCAGAGGGGGATCCAGATTGCCCCAATTTCCAGGTGTTCTTCAGAACCCTTTATCTGAAACCCATCCCCAGGCCTCTTCAGATCAGTTCATAGCATGGAATTCTGTGGGGCAAATTGTTTTTAAAATTAAAACTCTGGCACCCAAGCCGTGTAATTGGTGGATGTGACCTCTAGGTGTTCCCCTTACCTACTGGCACCCCCAAACAAGAGTAGATACAGATATTGGGCCTGGAACCCACCCACCGCCACCTCCTGTATCTCCAGAAAGAGTACCACTGGGGTATGTTGGCGACCTCCCCGGCTCCTGATCACACCTGGCATGCCACCCCACCCTTCACCCCCAAAGCCCCTGACTTGACCCTGGTGGTAGGCAGTGGCAGGTCAAGACCCAGCCCTTCTCCTCATCCCACCCTCATCCCAAGGGGAGAGGGGGCTCCAGGGGTGGGAAGGCAGGCTTTCCTCTGTTTGGGCATGGCGGGTCGGGGTGGGGGGGGGGGGGGGGGGGCCGTTCTCCAGGAACACTGAGCTCTAGACACCTCGCCTGCTGCCTGCCTCACACCCTTTGCATTGCTGTTTCCTCTGTTTTTGGGGGGTGAGGGGAACATTAGATTACACCTTGTCGTTCGGAAAGCCCCGTGTCTCTGGCGGCCGCGGCGAGGGGACAAGGGGAATCAGTCGATTGGCAAGATATCATCCCATTTTCTGCTAGAGCCAGGAAAACAAAAAAATCGGGAGAGAGAGGGTACCAAAAAGAAAAAAAAAAGTCCAGCTCAAAATGACAAGAGCTTGCCAAGGCCGCTGGTCAGCCCGTGGGCCAGGGGTCCAGCCAGGTCCCTCCAGACCTCGCACGCTATCCCGATGGCGGAGGGAGCTGGTGGTGGGAGTGGGGAGGCAGGGTGGCGGAGAAGGGGGAGGGAAAGGAAGATGCACAGGGCAGACCGCGGGGCGGTACCCACCCTCCCTGGGCCACAGGCTGGGGATCAATGGAGGGGCTTTGGAATTAGGCCTCGGACCCCTTCCCGTCCCCTGACAGGTGTAATCTAAGCTTAAGTAAACCCTGTGGAGGCTGCAGAACTGGCACCTCTCCCCTCCCCTCCCCATCCACATCCTCATTTTGGAGTCCGGAGGAGCACCCAGCAGCCTCTTCCACCCCAAAATGCCCAGCAGAGCCCCCCACCCCACCCTTCAGAGCTGCGGCTTGCTGAATCGTTGAGATGTCTGACACTGTTGAGTTCCCTACCTAGTGCTCCAACCAGATCACCTCACTTTTGAGTTTTTCCCCTCACCCTTCCCCAACCCCTCCTCCCCTGGAGCACCCCTCCCCGCCCCCCACTTTCTTGGTTTTTGAGTTTCTGCCTCTTCCTGCCTGGGGGAGGGGTCGTCTCCCGGTTGCTTTGAAGGTTTTTGAGTTGTTTTTCCATGTGAATCGGGGTTTGAAGCGACCCGCCCCCCCCAACCCCCACCCCCCCCCCCCCCCCCCCCCCGCTCCCCTCACCCACGCGGGTCCCCCCCACTGGGACCCCCCCGGCTACTCGGTGACGAGAAGAGCTGGAAACGAGAGCCAGCTGGAGCGTGCTGAGGACCAAGGCTGGTGTGGTCCCCTTATAACCTGCCTGGACCCTCCATTCAGGTCGGTAATTGGGGGCGGGGGTCCCGCGGGGCCACTCCGTCCCATGGGTTCCGTGCCCACCTTACTTTTCTAACCTGCACCTCAAGCTTGCAGCCAGGGGTGGAAAGATGATGTGGGTGGGAGTCAGCACCAAACTGGGCAGAACACAGCGTCAGCCGCCCGCCCTCGCCAACTGGAAGGATGCCCAGAGGCCTTATGAGACCCCCTCAGGGGGTTTTTAAGCCACCTAGTGCTCATGGGCACAATCCTCCCCTAACTCGTGGCAAACCAGCCCTCTTCCTGCCGCACACCCTTGGAAACGAATGGGGTAGGTGAGAAAGCAAGTGGGCAAAGTGTCTTAACGTGTCAGCCTTTATAGCATATTGGCAGATCCATTTAATTGATGGCTGCCGGCCATGTTGGGGATTGCGAGCACCAAAATTACAGTTGTTGATAAATGCCCTCCCACACTTAACTGACTTATAATTAACAACCCTGTACAGCCAGTCTGTTACGTGTTCAAGATGTATGCCTTGTGTCTACTTCTGAAAAGTGTTAGAGGTACCTTCCAAATTATGACACTCCTAAGGGAAGATATTTTAAGATAAGATCCAATGTGAACAGGGTCTTTGGGACATGATGTTGAGCCTTACACACATAAATTGGGATTATATTAACCTTTAAATCCTAAAGCTAGCCCTTATTCCCTTTGATGTTCCAATAATCCCTTTCAGTACGAACCTTTTACTGATAGCTTCTGGACATTTATGTTGATGGCTGCTGGATATTTTTCGAGTGATAATTATTCAGTTGATAGGTGGATATGGGTGATGGGTACTTTTGCCCTCTTTGGTATCCCCAGAGGGTAAGGACACAAGTTTGAAAGAGCCAAGAAGGGACACGTGGATATAATTCTTGCTAATTACCATGGTAAGAGAAGGCTCACTTTATCTCAGAGGTAGGGATCAGGCATACCTGGCTTTGAGCTCTGGCCCTACCACTTCCTTTCTTTGTGTCTTCCAACTAGCCCTAGCTCCTCACTGGGCCTCCACTGCTCCCTCCACAAAATGGGCATGAGGTCACTGGCCTCTCAAAGTGGGAGGGATTCAATAGAAATTCTTCCCATTACTTTTTTTTTTTTTTTTTAAACTAATTCATCCCCAGACTCCCTCAATGATGAGCATCTCATTGATCTTTCCAGCATCCTGGAAGGCCAGAAGGAAACTTCACTGGTCCATGCCCAGGCTGAGCATCTTCTGTGTGCTGGGCACTGCCCCGGTCAGCTTAATGGCCTTCTCAACACATCACCGATGGCCTCCATTTCACAAAGGAGGAAACTGAGGCTCCCGGAGGATGAGGGCCCTTCCCAGGGCTTATCCAGCCTCATCAGCCCCCCCACCTCTGCCGGAGCAGGTTTTCCATGGGACTCTGAGGTCTTGAGGAGTTTACCTTGCTGTGTGATTCAAGTGACTTGGCCTCTGTTTGTTCAGCTCTAAACGAAGAGCAGGGAGAGTCACTGAGAGGTGGGGCTTCTGTGGCTGGGTTGGTTTGCTCCGAAGGTTCTTTTTCGATGAGGATCTCACCACTGTGGCCGCCTCGAGCCTCTGCCAGGACCCTTGGGTGCTGGGTGGGGAGGCCAGATGCTGTGTTCTGCCAGGGTTGGGGGGCACCTCCCTGGGGAAGCCACAGCCGTCCTCCTTTCAGACCCCGATTTTCAGCCCCACACCCATTCCATGTTTTTTTGTTTGTTTTTGTTTTCTTGCTTTCAGGTGTTTTGGAGGGGTTTTTTGTTTGGTTGGTTTTTTTGGATTATTTCCCCCCACCACCCCACTTTGTTTTTTCATTTGGTTCCCCTGGTTTTGTTTTGGATGTCGATGCCGTTTTTCTGTCCTTGATTAATTAGCTCCCTCACACTCATCCCCCATTGTGTTCCGTTTCCATGACAACGCAGCGTTTGGGCATCCCACTCGTGCCTCGCTGTGGATGCCGGCGGCTGGCCTGGACCGCGTCCGCTGGCTGGCCGGACCCCATTCTCCCCCGATACCTCCACCTAGCCCTGCCAGAAAGCCGCTCCCCCATCTCAGAGCCCAGCCCCGCCCCTCACCCCCAGTCTGTCTGCATGGCCCCTCTGTCTCCCCTCCCTGCCCACCCCAACTCCTCCCTGCTGCCGAACACCTTCCACTTCCTCCATCCTGTCTCCAGCGTGACTCCTGGACTTTTCGCGGGGCTTCCTTTTCCGAAGGGCTGCCAGCTTTCTTGGCCCTCCCTCCGCCCACACGGAGCTCCCCCTTCTCTCCAGCGGGGATTCAGAGAACAGGGATTGAGATTTCCAGCTTGGAACCCACGGAGAGAGAGAGAGGGAGAGAGAGAGGGAAAGAGAGAGGGAGACCCCCCCCTCCGTAGAATAGGGCAGACACCCCTACAGCGACCCCCTTAGGGGTGCGGCTGCAACCGCAGTTCCATGTGAAAATTAGAGGCAGGTCGGGTTGCCGAAAGTCACTTGGTGGCCCTGTTTAGCCTTGCTGAGCCTCCAATCCGTCATCTCTACAGTTTGAGACAAGACTCCTTGAACTGCCCAAAGCTGGGGGCACATCCACGTGGCTCCTTGAAGCCAGGGACAAGCTCCTTCTGGCTAGAAGGGTTTACCAGCTAACCCAAGTCCTTTCCACTGCAGGGAAACATCTCCCACGGGGCAGCCGTGCCTCTTGGCAGTTCAGGTGCCCATTAGCACCCTCCCCTTCCCCCCGAACCCCGAAATCCATGCAGCTTCCGAAAATGGAGCCCCCGAAATGCATCCTGCTGCCTTCATGGTCTGCAAGATTGGGACAGAAGGCTGCATTCGCTTCCCTGCTAAGAAATGCACAGAACATGTCCCTGTTTTCTCAACGTTCAAGTTCATTCCCTCGTTTATTATTATTATTAATATCCTATTTATTCTGCCAGGGCTGTGATGTGACAATGTGACATGTCACATTGGGTCACATCTAGAATTAATATGCAGCATTGAAGTGGGCCCCCTCCCCCCTCCTTTCTCTTTCTCTGTCCCTCCCTCTCTGTGTTCCTGTTTTCTCTCTTTCTCTGGACCCATCTATCTCTTCTCTCTGGTCCCCCCCGCCCTCCCGTGAGTATGCACTAAAGGCCCCTGAGATCCAGGCCTCTTCACATTAACCTTCTCTCTTTTCCTCCTTCTGCCTCTTTCCCTCATCTCTCTCTGTCTCTCAGCCTCCCTCTCTCCCTCTCTCTCTCTCTCTCTCTCTCTCTCTCTCTCTCTCTCTCTCTCTCTGTCTCAACCAACCTATTTTGCATGCTGTTTGTGATTCTGAGAGCTGCATCTATCAATGGAAACTTGTCAGATCCGACAGAAGCTTTTAGAAGGGTTTCTATACCCAAAAACCACAAAAATTTCATTAGAGTTTCTCATCTTTTCCTTGAGGGCCCTCTGGGGAAGTGGGTGGGGCCCCCGGGTCACCAGAGGGAGTGAGGATGGGGGGCCGACATCCTGGTCCCCTCTGCCTCTTGGTCGCAACTCTTCCCATGACCTCCCACACACACACACCCCGTCCCGTCCAACCTTCCCAGAGCCCCCCGACCCCTGCGGCCCGAATCTTCCGAAGCTCCCCAGTTGGGAGAGCGGGCGGAGGGGCTGCTCCCCGAAGCCACGTCTGTCAGCAAAGATGAGAAACGGCTGATAAATTTTTGTGTTCCTAACTGTGCTGTGGACCAGCCACTCTGGTCTCTGAAACCCTGTTGCTATGGAATAATGCTTCATGTCTCTTTTATTATATATCGATATATCTCTCTATATATTGTTTGTGAAGTACCTTCCTTTGAAGTTTTGGTTTCTTTGTGTTGGAATTTGGTTTTTTAATTTTTGTTGTTGTTTTCTTTCATTTGGAAGAAAAAATTTCAACTGGGGGGAAGGAAACAGCCCTGTTTATATTTAAATTGTTTTCCACTTTTTTTTTTCCTTTTTTTCTTTCTTTCCTTCTTTCTTTCTTCCTGCTTTTCTTTCTTTTCTCCCCTGCATTCCGTCTCCCCATCCCCCTGCATCTCCCTCCCCTCCCCCACCCCTACATCCCCCACCCACCCCATCCCCCAGTCCGCCGCGTGGCTCCACGGTTCTCCATCTTGCCCATGAGCCACGAGATCATGCCAGGTGGCAACGTGAACATCACCTGCGTGGCCGTGGGCTCGCCCATGCCATACGTCAAGTGGATGCAGGGGGCCGAGGACCTGACGCCTGAAGATGACATGCCCGTGGGCCGGAACGTGCTGGAACTCACAGATGTCAAGGACTCTGCCAACTACACGTGTGTGGCCATGTCCAGCCTGGGCGTCATCGAGGCCGTGGCCCAGATCACGGTGAAATGTAAGCAGGGGCCATGGGGCATGGGGGAGGCAGGTGGGACCTCATGTGTAGGTGGGGGGTACGGGTGGAAAACCTCTGAGTTACTCTTCAGGATTCAGTCATTCCTGGCTGTGAAGAGGACAGTCAACAAACACTTATTGGTGACAAATTATTCTGGGCCTGGCCCCACGGAACGAGACCCAGTCTTGCTCTATTGGGCTCACGGTCCAAAGTGGGAGATGACACGTAGCCCGGCAGCTATGATGCAGACTGATGAGAGCAGTGATGGGGACTATGCAGCACCACTCAGACCCGCAGAATAAAGGTTCCAACTCCCAGGAAAGCTAGGCCAGGGAAAGACTAAAAGTTGAAAAGGGAAACAGGCTGTGCAGAACTCAGAGAGATAGAGCATTGGCGGGGTGGGGAGGGATTACAGATTCTCCTGATGTCTCAAGTTTGTGGCAAGATTCAGAGGAGGGTGCCCTCAAATAATTTTTCTAGCTTTGTAACAGGGGCCAGCAGACTACAGCCCATGGGCTGAATCTGGCCCTCCACTTGTTTTTATAAATAAAGCTTTATTGACACCTGCCCATTTTTTCACACCTGGCTTGTGGCAGCTTTGGGGCTACAGTGACAGAGCTGAGTGATTCTCAGCAAAGGCCACGTGGTCTGCAAATCTGAAAAGATTTACTGTGTGGCCCTCTGCAAGTAAAGGTTGCCAAGCCCTGCCCTAGGGCCGTAGAAAGTGTCAGCATCAGCTGGTGTGTTGGTCATTTTGCTGAGGGATTGAACGTCTTCTGGTGCATGCTTCCTGGGGCCTGTGTGATATGAGATCTTGGGACAAGTGGGAGAGAAAGTCACAATTGTATCCGGGTGCTGGGGACACACTGTAAACCAACCTCAGTCCCTGCTGGTGGGGACAACATACAAACCTGGTCATGACGTACCGTCAGGCAGTGATAAGAACTGGGCAAGGGCACCTTTAGCCAGGGTGGTGAGGGTGGCCTTAAGCCATCTGGCCATCTGAGCATTCCAGGGGCAGGGAACAGCAAGTGTGAAGTGTGAACAGACAGAAGGGCCCTGTGCCTGAGCAGAGTGAAGCAGAGTAAAGCACAGAGAAGAGTTGTAGCCCAGGGGCCGCCACTGTTTCCTTTAGAAGTGAGTATTTTTCTTAAACAGGCAATTTTTTTTTTAAGTAAAAGTGTTCAGCTTTATGGGCCATCTGGTCTCTACTGTAACCACTCAATTCTGCCGTCATAGCACAAAAGCAGCGATACGTAAGCGTGGCTGTGTGCTGACAAAACTTTATTTACAGAAACAGGTGCCAGCCCTTGGTTCGTAGTTTGCCAACACCTGCTATAGATGGTGGGCTAGGGGTCGTTAGGCCCATGGTTGCCACCAAGGAGATGAAGGCTCAGAGAGGGCAGTTGTGTGACTAAAAGTCACACAGCCTTTGGGGTCTGCAGCCAGCGTGCCTGATGTGTGAACTTGCCTCCCACCCACAGCTCTCCCCAAAGCCCCTGGGACCCCTGTGGTGACAGAGAACACAGCCACCAGCATCACCATCACGTGGGACTCTGGCAACCCAGACCCCGTGTCCTACTACGTCATCGAATATAAATCCAAGAGCCAGGACGGGCCATACCAGATCAAAGAGGACATCACCACGACGCGTTACAGCATTGGCGGCCTGAGCCCCAATTCGGAGTATGAGATCTGGGTGTCGGCCGTCAACTCCATCGGCCAGGGTCCGCCCAGCGAGTCGGTGGTCACCCGCACTGGCGAGCAGGCCCCTGCCAGCGCGCCCCGAAACGTGCAGGCCCGCATGCTCAGCGCCACCACCATGATCATCCAGTGGGAGGAACCCGTGGAACCCAACGGCCTGATCCGGGGCTACCGGGTCTACTACACCATGGAGCCCGAGCACCCCGTGGGCAACTGGCAGAAGCACAACGTGGACGACAGCCTGCTGACCACCGTGGGCAGCCTGCTGGAGGATGAGACATACACCGTGCGCGTGCTGGCCTTCACCTCCGTAGGCGATGGGCCCCTCTCGGACCCCATCCAGGTCAAGACACAACAGGGAGGTGAGATGCCCGCGGGAAGCACAGCTTCTGCAGGGGTGGGGGGAGCAGCAGGTTTCGGGGCTGTCCCACCAGAGGGAAGGAGGCGGCCATGCAGTGATGTGTCTCCCAGGATGCAGCCGGCCGATCTTAACCTGGAAGCCACTACGTGGTTTATTTGGCCTGCATGGTGCTTTAAAGTATTTTCACGCCAGCGTTGCAAAGCAGGAGGTTGTCCTAGAAAACCCAGATTTCTGGCTACCCTTGGAAAATCCGATCTGGCAAGCCCATAGGGCTACAATCGGTCATCCAATGGCATCCAGATAGATGCCGCCGCCGGCTGCATCTGAGAAAAGGGGTGTGGTTTCCGTTCGCCTCCCTCTTCTCTGTTAACTGCCCTGGCTCCCATCCATCTCTGAGTTTGAGAACCCCTGTTCGCTGCTCTCACTGGAGGGATCCATGCCGCCCATTTTGAAATAATAGAAAGTGTGTTAGCCCAAAGTCTGTGAGCTGGTCTGTCACCTGCCGGGGTGAAGGACGTGGGGTAGGGGCGTGGAGCATTTAGGTGCATGGGGCCCCCGCTCTCTGCAGGTTTCTGGGCTTTTTCTTACGGACTCAGGCTTTGGAACCTCAAATCCAGGAAGAGTCAGGCAGCTGCCCAAGCAAAGGGACAGGAGGTTTGGAACTCTGCTGCCATAAATCAGATACAGGGTGGAGATCCACATTCCAAATTTTGGTCCCCACCAGTTTTCTGTTTAACTGGGGGAATGGGGAGGATGCTGGGGTGCGTTGAGAAGGGGATTTTTAAAAAATGTTTTCCCACTGGCAACAGAGAGGATGGGGGGATTGGGGTGGGCAGCTGACAACAAGGGGCGGTAGGGGGTCCCTGAGAAAATAAGAGAAATAAGAACAGTGGAGAACACTCCAGAAGCATCTAGAGCCTAACAAGCCCTTCCTTTTAGGGTGGTGCTGAGCTTCACGGGGCCCTTTTTGGGAGAATGGGAACCTGGCGGGTTGGATACCCTATGCGGGCCCATCCCTCCCAGGCCGCCCCCCAATGCCAGTCCTCTTCGCCCCCTGCCCCGCAGTGCCTGGCCAGCCCATGAACTTCCGGGCCGAGGCCAAGTCGGAGACGAGTATTGGGCTCTCGTGGAGCCCCCCGCGGCAGGAGAGCATCATCAAGTATGAGCTCCTCTTCCGGGAAGGCGACCACGGCAGAGAGGTGCGTGGGCGGGGGGAGGCGGGCTGGCGCTCGCCGCCGGCTCCCACTCTGGGCGACTCTCTTGTCTCCCCGAGCCTGTGCCGGAATGTCTCTCTTCCCCCCTTCTCTTTGTCCCTGTCCGTTGCTAATTTTTCCAACACTCTTTTCTCCTCCATTTCCATCACTCTGTGAGGTCTGTGTCTGTATCCCTCTGGTTTCTCGCTGTCTCTCTCCATCTCCGTCTCTCTCCCCGCCCCGCCCCCAGGTCGGGAGGACCTTCGACCCGGCCACGGCCTTCGTGGTGGACGACCTCAAGCCCAACACCGAATACGCCTTCCGCCTGGCGGCGCGCTCCCCGCAAGGCCTGGGCGCCTTCACCTCGGTGGTGCGGCAGCGCACGCTGCAGTCCAGTAGGTGTCTCGCGGACCCCGCCCTGAACTGCGGGGGTGGGCACCTGGCCGGCGCCTGCGCACAGACCCGGGGCGGGGCCTGCGCAAGGGTGGGGGGCGCCTCCGCCCGTCCCGCTTCGCTCTTCCGCCTCGGGCGTGCTTGCGTCCACGCTGCGCCTCGGTTCCCCCACCAGTGCAGTGAGGGGCTCACCCGTGGACCCCGCAGGCTCCAGTTTCTCCATCTCCCTGGGGGTACAGCCGTGGCCGGTTTCGCTGATGGCACCTCCTCTCTCCTCTGCCTTTCCCGGATTTGGGGTTAGTGGAATGGCCACGTTGCGCCCATCTCACAGGTGTTTGGAGGGGTCTGTGATGCTGTCACAGCTCACGCCCCATCCTTCCGAGAGAGCAGAGGATGCAGAGACGATCCTACCTCCCCAGATGGCCCTTCTTGCCCCCAAGTCTGGGTCCCCATTGCAAGGGGCTCGGGGGCGCGGGGGAGTCAGAGCTGATGCCAGGCTCTGGGGGAAGTGCAGGACCCCCAAAACATAGGGCCCTCCAATTCCTGGAGTTCTTCGCTGTGCCCGCCTGGCCTCCCTGTCACAGAAAGTCACCTTTTGGCCAGGACACTGCAGCTGGCCCTGGGCCACACCGTGGCGCCCGCTGCGCCCTCCCTGCCTGCTCTGAGCTCAGGGCCTAGGCAGGCCCCTCCGACCGCCGCCTCCCTGCCTCCCCCTCCTCCCTCTTCTGTGCTCAGTCTGGCCCAAGTGGCCCCCGCCGTGACCCTCCCTTTCTTCTTCTCCCCTCCCCCTGCTCAGTCAGTCACGGGGTAGCCACCCCAGGCCTTGTTCCGGAAGCTGCCTCAGTGTTCAAACCTTCAAGCCCCCGCCTGCCCCGCCCCCAGGCGTGCGCACACAGAGGGTCACGGGTCAGTCCAGAGTGACAGCAACTTGGGCCGGGGTGTCTGAGCCGCTGGGATCAGGGGACTTGGAGACACAACACCCCACTGTCAACCCCTGCCCCCTCCCCTCCTCCCCGCCCCACTGGGGCCGAGCCGAGAGCTGCGCGACTCACAGGAATGTTTGTGCGTGAGGCGATCAGTGAGGGTGTCCTGTGGCTTGGGCGGCCACGTGAGAGACCGGCACAGGTGCCGCGAAGGTGAGTACGCGCTGGTCTCCAGCGGGTTCACAAAAACGGCCCACCCTGCGTGCCCCCTAGCCTGTGCCCCAGCAGCTCTGGGCTGTGCAGACCGCCCAGAGTCCAAATTCAGTCCCCTAAACTCTGCACCCCACTGCCGAGTGGCACACCTGCCCAGGAACGTGGAATCCGGAACCACGCCCCTCCCCCCCCACACCGCGCATCCATGTGCGCATCCACGCTGCCCCGCACCCTCCCGACAAGTCACGCAGGTTGGGCCGGATTGTGAAGGAGGCGGCCTCCAAGGTCGTCGAGAAAGCGGCTTTGGCCCAGCCACGCGAACCTCCGAACCTCTGGGGCGGCCCAGGACAGGGAGTGGGGGAGAAGGGACTCCCCACTTCGCACCCCAAGACGGGTGGGGCCCGAGAGAACTGGCAGCCGAGACGCAGGGCCAGGCGTACCCCCACCCCCGGGGAGTGCGGGCTTCTTAGGCTGAACTCAAGGGTAGGTGGAGGCCAGACCACTCAGCCGTGGGTCTCCCCAGACACCGTCCAACCTTCCTGCCTCATCGGCGCCAGCCCGGAACTGCAGCGTGCCCACACTGGGGCCGGAGCAGGGCTGCGCGCCTGCTCGCGGCCAGAGACCCACCCAGAGCTCGGTCTGGCCTTGTAGCTCAGCACTCCGCCATTCCCTCCCTCGTAAGAAAGTCTTTTAAGTTAGCAGTTGAAGAGTGGAAGGTAGGTAACCAGACTGGGAGTTTTCTGGAAAGCGTCTTTCTTTCTTTTATTATGGTTTTTCTCATCATCATCACCATCATCGTTGCTTCTTCTTTCATTATGGTTTTGGTTTGAGTTTTCCTTCCCCTTTCTTAGCAAATCCATTCCTTCTGGCACATTCCTCGGTTGGTTTTTCCACTCCTGCTTGACTCCCCCCGGGCACATTTGGTTGGGGTGGCTGGTCAAGAAATGGGGGAGGGGACCCCCAAGTGTCTATTTCCAGAGGAGAGAACCCCAGTGTTTCAATTTAAGTGAGGCCAGAGAGTCATTCTGGTTGCAGTAAGCCATTGGAGTGGCCTCTGGGGTCTCTGGTAGCCTGATGTCTTTGAGGATGGGGGCCTCTGATTCACCTCTGGGTCCCAGACCCTAGCATGGGGTGTGCACAGAGTAAGTGGTCTGTAAACACATGCAGTGAATAAGTGCGGCTGGCATGATGGTGAAGGTTCTACATGCCTTGACCTCAAGCAAGGCCAGTGACCTCTCTGAGCCTCCCTCCAGACGAGGCGGGCTCTAGGGTCATGGGCATTTGAGGGGGTGTGGCTCCAGCCATCCTCAGCTGGCCTGAGCTGATTAAGGCACAGGCTGAGGTCTGAATTCCCAGCCTCAACCAAGACAGCCCACGGACAGCAGCTGAGCCTGGCTTCAAGGCCTGGCTCGCGCCATGTGCCCTTGGGCAGGCCACTTGCCTTTTCTGGGCCTGTTTCCTCACCTGTAAAATGGGAGGTGAGCACCCAGAACAGGTGGGACCTGGCACCCAGTAGCTATACAACCAGTGATAAAAGAATGCCAGGCAAACCAGGTGGGCTTTGAAACCCATTTCCCCACCTGGAACATGGGGGCGGGGTGGAGGGGTGCTAGTTCCAGCCACGTAAGGGGGTCATGAGAATTAAATGAGGCACGATCAGTGGGCCGTATCTTGAGTCTACAGAGGGCCTATGCTGCTGGGCGTGCAGATGACGTATAGAACGTGAGGATTATCATCAGTAATGCTCTTAACACAGGGCCTGGCCCATAGTAGGTGCTCGGCACATGGAGACTATTACTGATACTCCATAAGGCCCTTAACACACACAGTTCATGCTTAATATGTGGAGAGTATCACTGTTATTTAACAAAGTCCTTAGCATGCTGCCTGGCACACAGTAGGTGCTCTATAAATGGCAGCTGCCACTTTCAGTCTAAATATGGATCGGCAGGGTGCTGGGCACAGAGCTGGCAGTCCATGAATGGAAGCTATTAGTAGCTTGTAACAAGGTCAACCTGGTGCCAGGTACACAGTAGGTCCCCCTAAACATGGGGGCTACGATGATTGCTCTGCAAAACCCTTGGCACAGTGCCTGGCATCCAGTAAGCGCTCAATAAGTGGCACTTTAAAGAGGTTGGCCTGGTGCTAAGCACATAGTAGGTGCTCAGATGGGAGCCACTGTCAGTCTGGAAGGGCCTAGCATGGTTTCGTTTTTGCTCCAAACATGAAACTGTTGTCTGCCAGGTTCTTGGAACTGTGTGTGTAAATAGTAGGTGCTCAATAAGTAAGAACTATTACTATTTTTATATAAGGTCATTAGCACAGTGCTTGACACATAGTAGACGCTTAAAACGTAGGGACTATTACTGTTATCCAGATATAACAGGGCCTGACACACAGTAGGCCCTGTTAAGAAATGAGAACTACTAATGTTCTACATAGTCCTTAGTATACTACCTAGCATGCTGTAGGTACCTAATATGTGGGAACATTTTCTGTTTCAATAAAGACCTTAGCAGAGTGCCTGGCATGCAGTATGCACCGCGTAAAGGGCAACAGCTACTTTCATCTTCAGAGGGCTGTTGCAGTGACCAGCCCATAGTAGGTGTTCAGTAAATGAGACGTGCTATTGATCTGCAGTGGGCTTAGGTTGGCATCAGGTGAACAGTAGGGGCTCAAAACAGAAGAACTATGAGCTACTAAAACTTTGGCACACAGTAGGTGCTAACTGTGGGCTGTGTTATCTGTAAAGCCCTGACCCAGTGCCATCACAGTAGGTGTCCGATACACAGGGGCTTTTATTATTACTCTGTATAGCCCTTGGCATGCTAACTGGCACACAGTAGGTGCCCAAGACTCAGACATTGTTTTCTTTGCAAGTGAGGCCAAGAAGTAACCACAGGGTTGCCCTCTGGGGTCCCTGGCAGTACAGGTGTTCAGTAAGTAGATGCTCTTACTGTTAACGTGTGAAGCTTTTAGAGACAGGCCTAGCACATAGTAGGTGCCCAATAAATGGGGCTTTACCGCTATTCCCCGGTTACACAGTAGGTATTCAGTAAATTAGTGTTTACAGTTATTCCATCCCTGGTGCTGTGCCTGGCACATAGTAGGTGCCCAGTAAATGGAGCTTTTGCTATTCCTCTGGCACAGTGCCTAGCACACAAATGTTCTATAAATAAGTACATTTACTGTCATTCTGCTCCTGTGCTGTGCCTGGTGCACAGTAGGTGTTCACTAAATAAGTACACTTACTGTTATTGTGTGAAGCGCTTGGCACGGTGCCTGGCACATACTAGGTGCCCAATAAGTGAGGCTTTTATTGCTATTCTTCTGGCACAGTGCCTAGCACACAGTAGGTGTTCAATAGATAAGTACATTTATTGTCATTGTGTTCCTGGTGCTATACCTGGCACACAGTAGGTGTTCAATAAATAAGTACATTTACTGTTGTTTTGGCACCGTGCCTGACACATAATAGGTGCTCAGTGAATGGGGTTTTTTACTGCTGTTCCACTTGGCATGGTGCCTGGCACATAGTAGGTGCCCAGTAAATGGGGTTTTTACTGCTGTTCCGCTTGGCACGGTGCACAGCATACGTGCATATGCTCCTTGGGGACTGTGGCTACCCTCTCCCTAAGAACTACTGTGTGCCAAGTGCAGCCCCATGTGGTGAGTGCAGCGTTCTTGGCCAGCCCTCTCTGCCCCCATCCCCGCCCGCCCACACACCCACCCCCCCCTCTCACCTTTTGTTGTCACCCCCCTCTTTTTGGGGTCCCACTTTTGTGTTTTGGTTCTGTTTTGTTTGTTATCATCTTCTTTTTTATTTTCTCTTTCCCATCTTTTGTTTCCCCCCCCCCTCCCCGCCCATCCCGCCTCCCTTCCCCACCCCCACGTTCTCCCCCCCCTCCAATAGAACCGTCAGCCCCCCCTCAAGACGTTAAATGTGTCAGCACGCGCTCCACGGCCATTTTGGTAAGTTGGCGCCCGCCGCCACCGGACACGCACAACGGGGCCCTGGTGAGCTATAGCGTCCGCTACCGACCGCTGGGCTCAGAGGACCCGCAACCCAAGGAGGTGAACGGCATCCCCCCGACCACCACCCAGATCCTGCTGGAGGCCTTGGACAAGTGGACGGAGTACCGCATCACCGCCGTCGCTCACACAGAGGTGGGACCAGGGCCCGAGAGCTCGCCCGTGGTCATCCGCACCGACGAGGACGGTAAGCACCGGCCCCAGCCTGGGACCCCTGGGACCCCCCAGGCCCCAGCCCGGCCCCTGCCTTGGAGCCTTCTGTCCCTGGAAAACTGGGCTGGCTGGTGGTCAGAAGGTATTGGGTTGGCCAAAAAGTTCTTTCGGGTTTTTCAGTAAGATATTACGGAAAAAAACGAATGAACTTTTTAGCCAACCATAGAAGCCATAATCAGGAGAAGGAGACAAGTGGCCATCAGCCTCCCCAAGCCAACCGGGCTCCTTGATCTTGGAATTCTCAGTTCTGGACCTTCCAGGCTACATTTTCTCTCTGAGCCTTGGGCCTGGAACGTTAAGCGGGGAGCCCTGTATTTTGGTCCGGTGGTGGAAGCCATGGAAACGGAGTGTAGGAAACAGCAAGCAGCACTTGCAACAAAAATTATGGTCCCTGACCCCAGAAAGCTGGTTTTTTAGACTCTAGGGATAACCTGAGATTTGGAGCTACTTGGGTCTGAGCTATCCTACCTAGAGAGTAGGTAGATTGCGTGCTGACGGTGGTTAACCGCCAGCTCTCTGGGGCATAGAGACCGATCTGTAGCACTGGCCGATTTCTGTGGTGTAAATATTCCCACCGTAGCTGAGCTAGAAAGTTCTAAGACGCTAGTCACACAGTAGAAGCTGAGGGCATGGGGCAAAATGAAGCAGGCAGCTTCCCCAATAAAACTGCAGGAAACCAGGACCAGCTGTTTTCTGAGCCATTGGCCTGGAAGTTTTGGTTGGCAGCCCCAACATTTTGTCCTAACCATGGGGAAGAAATGAAGCGGTTCTTCACGCCAGGCCTTGGGGTGGGGGTGGGGTGGGTGGCGAGGGCTCTCAGCTTGGGGGCTGGTTGAAAAAGTGCTCCAGTGCGGAGTGGGCTGGCTGCACCCTAGGGTGTGTAGGAGCGTGCAGCTGGACTGCCTGGGTTCCCATCCCGGCTTTGCCTCTTGATAACCCTGTGGTCCTGGGATCAACTCTCTGTGCCTTGGTTTCCCCATCTGTAAAGGGAGCATAAGGACCCCTATCTAGAAGGGATGCTCTGAGGTCGGAAGCAGTGTGGGTAAACCTCTTAGAGTGGGGCATGCACGGCCCGCTCATGTCTTGTGGCCCTGGGCAGGTGACCTAGGCTCTGGGGGACCTCAGTTGCTCGTCTGTAAATGGGGTGCACCATCAGAGCCCCCTCCCCGGGCTGTGGGAAGCGTGAAGGAGGTATTCCCTCCGGGCCAGCGGTGAGCGCTCAGAGCGCCGGGTTAACCGGCAGTCACTCGGCACCTTGGCATCGGTCAGTGGCGCTGCCCGGGGCAGGGCTGGGCACCCCAGTAACGGCCCCGCCCGCCCCTCCCCTCCCCTCCCCCCCCACCCGCCAGTGCCCAGCGCGCCGCCGCGGAAGGTGGAGGCGGAGGCGCTCAACGCCACGGCTATTCGCGTGCTGTGGCGCTCACCCGCGCCCGGTCGGCAGCACGGCCAGATCCGCGGCTACCAGGTCCACTACGTGCGCATGGAGGGCGCTGAGGCCCGAGGGCCGCCGCGCATCAAGGACATCATGCTGGCCGATGCCCAGGTGGGCGGGGCTCCGGGGCGGGGCCTGGCGGTGGGGCGGGGCCCGGGCCCCCTGCGCTCCCGCCCTCTCGCTGCTTCTCTGCGTTTCTCTGTCTCTGGCTACTCCGCTCACCTCCTCCTCTCTCCCCTGCCGCCTCCTCCCGCGCTCAGTGGGAGACGGACGACACGGCCGAATATGTAAGTAGTGCCCCCCTGCCACCCCGAGCCGCTGCCAGTGCTCTTCCCGCGGGCGGGCCGTGCAGTGCTGTGACCCCATCCCCTGCACGCTCCCTGTAAAAGGGTCTCCTCCCCTGGGCCGCCGATGCACACCTAGTTACCTCTTGGAGCTAGCTGGCAGCCTCGGCTTTGCATCAGGCACATGGGCTTCTGCTAGGGACCACGGAGGTATCCATTCTTAGCTGAATGGCCCCTGGACTCCGCTGGCCTCCTGCCTCCCCACTTCCCTCCTCCAGCCTAGCTCCCGGCCTGGGTCTTCTCCACCACACCTTTGCTCCAGCTGTTCACAGCGTTAACCACCCTCCTCCAGCCCACAGCTTCCCCTGTGGCACCCAGGCCTGGCAGATCGAAACTGAGTCACTTTCCAGCCTAGCCCGACCCTTTTGTTACCTGACTCAGCCCTTCCTGACCTCGAAGTTTCTCTCTTAGGCCAAAGTGTCCCCTTCATTCTGGCCCTGGCGTGATGAGAGGGGTCAGTGGGCCCCAGGTGGGAAAGGAGGCCTGCAGGAGGCCCTGAACCAGAGTCAGGATTACTGTGTGGCTCTGGGCTGTCTTTCTGCCCCTAAGATACGGACCACAGGCTCTTCTGACAGCCCCAAGCCTGATGTTAAATTGACACGGCCCCACCCACTCCAGTAGCTCTGCTTCTCCCCCGCCCCGCCCCGCCCCACCCCAGTCTGGGGGGAGGTTCCCACATGGCTCTGGCTCAGACCCTCCAACCCACTAAGACCCCGGGAAGGACTGAATGTGAGGCTCAGGGGCAGGAGACCCTCTGTTTGTGCATCCTGTCCCCCCTCCTATGCTCCTGACCTGGGGCCACCCAGGCATGCCGGACATGTTTGTGGGTGTGCATGTATGGGAAACATGGACACGTGTGTGAGGGTGTGAGGGTCAGGGTGCTCTGTCATTCACTGAATGAGCAGTGATTTACTGAGCACCTGCTGATCCTGAGTTAGGTGCCATGGATGCGGCAGTGACCAGGACACGCCTGAGCCCGTTTTCCTGGGGGTCACGGTTCAGGGGAGAGGGATGTTACTTGGAACAAGGCACAAACACGTGTCTAGTTACAGCTCTGGTGGGGACGGGGCATAGATAGTGGTGTAAATGCTTGAACAGCCAGCTGTCGGGTGGGCACAATCCTGACTGGTAGCATTTGCCCTCTTCCATGGTGTAAATACTCCCACCGTGTCGATTTCAAGCTACCTACCAGATTTGTGGTAGCTCGTCATTGTATAGTAGTTGTATCGCACAGATATAAGAGACAGAATAGAATAATCTCGAGGACACAGATAATAGTAAACAACGGTAAAATAATGACGGAGGGGTGGGTTTTGAGTACTTATTACCTTTGTTTTTACTATTTATTTGATCGTACGTTTATATAATTTTATTTATAATAACGGCTGTTTAATAAGTGGCTTGCAAATTTTCTGAAAATTCGACTGCTGGCTTTCAAGAGCTGGTATAAGGAATCTCCAGCACAACAATGGATGTAGTGGAGACAGGTGTCGGGTGGGGGGGACACAGCCAGTGCAAAGGCCCTGGGGCAGGACCATGTCTGGTTGGAGGAGGGAGAGAAAGGCAGCCCCGTGTGGCTGGAGCAGAGTGAGCGAGGGAGGAGGTGAGGGCATGGAGGGGACAGGGGCAGGTCGTGCAGGGCCTTGTGGGCGGCAGAGGACTTCTGGTGGCGCGAAGGACTTGGGCTTTTGCCCCCAGGGAGACCAGAGCCCTGGAGACCTGACTCAGCTGCTCACAGGCACCCTCTGGGGGCCACTGCAGGGAGGAGAGAACGGGGGTGGGGCAAAAGTGGTAGCTGGGGACCAGAGGGGCAGGAACAGCACTGGTCCAGGCGGTCCATGACAGATGTCAGGCCACGTGTGCCCATCTCAGCATGGACGTGCTACGTGTCGGGGTCTGTGCATGAACTCGGGTGCACGTCTCTGCCCGCAGATTGGGCCCCGTGTCTGCCTTGCTTGTCCCTAGCAGGGGGAGGAGGGTGGGCAGCCCTGGTTGCGTCACTGATTCCCCACCCCTGACCCCACCCGCAGGAGATGACCGTCACAAACCTGCAGCCTGAGACCGCCTATTCCATCACGGTAGCCGCCTACACCATGAAAGGCGATGGCGCTCGCAGTAAACCCAAGGTGGTAGTGACCAAGGGAGCAGGTGCGAGACCCTCTATGGCCCCTTTGCCCTCAGAGCATCCCTGCAGAGTTCTTGAGCCCTTGTTGGGGGGGAGGATGCACCAAGCAGGAGGAACAGGGAGAGCAAAGGTGTGGAGCTACTCCAGAGGATATTAAGACCCAGTGTGGTCCAGCCCCGCTCAGCTCTAGCCAGATGGAAACCTTTAACAGCCAACTCTTAACTCCTCACCCTCTGCCTCCTGTTCCCCCTGCCTGGATACCCTTCTCCGGGCTGGCCGTCTCCTCTGCATCCTTTGGGTCTTTGGTTAGTCAGCACCTCCTCAGGAAGCCTTCCCCACTCACCCCCATGCCACAGTCTTGGTCAGGCCGCACCCCTCCTGCCCCCAGCACCCCGTGCCTCCCCCATCCCAGCTCTGATCACCCCAGGCGGGTTGTCATTTCAGGGTGGTGTGCCCGTCTCCCCCGCTGCACCCTGAAGCCTCCTCTCCTGGCAGCCCTGCCTCAGTTTCCCTCTCAGGCCCCTCCCATCAGTCCCAAGAGGCTGGTTTTTCACCAGCCAAACATAGCTGAGTGAGGAGAGAGAGCGAGCCATGAAAATGTAAGGGGAGAGGGTATTCTAGGCAGAGAGCACAGCCCGGGCAAAGGCTCAGAGGAGGGAACAAGCTTGGTGTGTTCGAGGAACAAAGGCCCCCATGGCCTCCACCCCACTTGCTTCACTCTCCATGCCTCACTGCTGACCACAGAGCCTGATGTTCAAGGCCTCCCAGCTGGACACAGCACCCCTCCACACTGCTGCCAGCCCATGCCCCTACCGTTCCCTTCGTCTGCCTAGTCTCTGTGTCCTCTAGCGCCCATGTCGCCTCTTCCAGGAAGCTTCCTGTGATCTGCCGTCCTCTCTCAGGGACGTTGCATCAGAGCCATGCTTGCTAAGCAGAACCTGTTGCATACACTGTGACTGTTCACACCACCGTCCATTAAAGGTCCTGATAAGTCCTGCAGTGGAGAAGCCTGGTTTCATGTATAGAGCTTCAGCACTGCAGGGCTTCTCAGGGCTTTGACACATTGATCACTGCTCAGACTGTGAGAACCATGGGGGCAGGGACAGGGTTTTGGACACTCCTACGTTCCATGGATATTAATTAGATGCCGGCAGGAGGCAAGGGGTGAATAAATCAGGCAAGAGCTGAGTGACTTACTAACAGAAGAAGGAGAAACATAGATGCGGGCCTGCTGTGACATCTGTTGATGTTTTCGTTTGTCGGGTCCTCTGAGTCCCCTGCTTCCTCGCTGTTCCTTGCACTCAGCACAGTCTCACCTCAGGGCCTTTGCACTGGCTGTTCCCTCTGCCTGCATCACTGTTCCCCCCAGACCTCCCCGCGGCTCCCTCCCTCACCTTCAAGCCTTGGCTTCTGAGCAAAGCCTTCCCAAGACTACTTTTAAAAATGGCAACCCCTTGGGAATTCCCTGGCGGTCCAGTGGTTAGGACTCCACGCTTTCACTGTGGAGGGCCCAGGTTCAATCCCTGGTCAGGGAACTAAGATCCCACAAGCTGCACGGTGTGGCCAAAAAAAAAAAAAACCCGGCAACCTCACCCTGTGCTCCCAGGCTGACCCCTGCCTTGTATCTGCCCCCCTCCCCCCCCAACAGTGCTGGGCCGCCCCACCCTGTCGGTGCAGCAGACCCCCGAGGGCAGCCTGCTGGCACGCTGGGAGCCCCCGGCCGGCACCGCCGAGGACCAGGTGCTGGGCTATCGCCTGCAGTTCGGCCGCGAGGACTCATCGCCCCTGGCCACACTGGAGTTCCCGCCCACCGAGGACCACTACACTGCGTCGGGCGTGCACAAGGGCGCCACGTACGTGTTCCGGCTGGCGGCCCGGAGCCGAGGCGGCCTGGGCGAGGAGGCAGCCGAGGTCCTGAGCATCCCCGAGGACACGCCCCACGGCCACCCACAGATCCTCGAGGCGGCCGGCAACGCCTCCGCCGGCACAGTCCTGCTCCGCTGGCTGCCGCCAGTGCCCGCCGAGCGCAACGGGGCCATTGTCAAGTATACAGTGGCTGTGCGGGAGGCCGGCGCCCTGGGCCCCGCCCGAGAGACCGAGCTGCCCGCGGCGGCCGAGCCGGGCGCCGAGAACGTGCTCACGCTGCAGGGCCTCAAGCCCGACACGGCCTATGACCTCCAAGTGCGGGCCCACACGCGCCGCGGCCCCGGCCCTTACAGCCCCCCCGTCCGCTACCGGACGTTCCTGCGGGACCAAGGTAGGCGCGCGGTGATCCCCGCACCAGAGCCGGACCGGGCCTCGCGCCCACCCCCACCCCAGCCCCCTCCCTCTCCCCCGCCCAGGTAAGTGGTCACTTTTCTGCTTCCTCGTGGACGCTCAAGGCGAGTCCAGACCCCGAGGCTCCGGCGTTGGCAAAGGTGGGACACGCCTAGGTGGCACCGCCGCCCCCGTACACCGCCCCCAGCCCACCCCGTCCCCCCCCAACCCTCCTCCACCCCCGCCTTCTCTCTCCAGCTGCGCCGTCTCCCGCGGCAGGGACTTGGAACAGGCAGGGCCGGGCCAGGGCCAGGCAGTAAGGCCACGGGCACAGCAGACGACAGGGAGCGCCTGGGCCGCCCCACACACAACCCCGTCCCCCCGCTCCCCCCGCCCCCCAGCACTCACGGGACCTCTCCTTTGCTTTTTCCCGCCTGCCGCTGCCTGGTGCAGTCTCGCCCAAGAACTTCAAGGTGAAGATGATCATGAAGACGGCGGTTTTGCTCAGCTGGGAGTTCCCCGACAGCTACCACTCGCCCACGCCCTACAAGGTGCAGCCTCCCGATGAGTCGGGGGGCGGGGCTCGGCCGGGGTTGGGGCCTGGTCTGGAGTCGGGGCTGGGGCCAGCGTTGGGGGTCAGCTGGACTCACCGCCGGGTAGGCTTGAGGCTCAGTCTGGGGTTGGGGCTTAGTTCGGTGTCAAGATTTATTAGTCTGGGATCAAGGCTCAGTCAGAATTGGGGCCTAGCCTGGGATCGGTCCCAGGGGTTGAAGTTCAGTCTGGGTTTGGGGCTTAGTGCTCAGTCAGAGCTGGGGCTTAGCCTGGGATCAGGGCTCAGCTAGGATTCAGGCCCAGTGTCTCAGTCGAGGTTCGAGCCTCAGTCTGGAATTAGGGCTCTTTAAGGATTGAGACTTAGAGCCAGGACTTGGCTGCGACGGAAGCTCAGCCTGGGTTCGGGGCTCAATCTGGGGTTGGGGCTGAGTTGGGGGTCGAGACTTAGTCTGGGATCAAGGCTCTGTTAGAATTGGGGCTCAGCTGGGATTGAGGCTCAGTCTGGGGTCACAGTTGGCAGGGTCAGGGCTAAGTCTGGGATCCAGGCTCAGTCAGGACCAGGGGCTCAACCCAGAGCCCTGCTGAGCTGGCCCGTCCCACAGATCCAGTACAATGGGCTCACGCTGGACGTGGACGGCCGCACCACCAAGAAGCTCATCACGCACCTCAAGCCCAACACCTTTTACAACTTCGTGCTGACCAACCGCGGCAGCAGCCTGGGTGGCCTCCAGCAGACGGTCACTGCCTGGACCGCCTTCAACCTGCTCAGCTCTAAGCCCAGCGTGACCCCCAAGCCTGACTCCGAAGGCTACATTGTGGTGTATCTGCCCGACGGCCAGAGCCCTGTGCCTGTCCAGTAAGCTCAACTCGCCCCCCTCAGGGATTTTGCACCCCTCCACCAGTCAGCTACCCCTCCACCAGCCAGCTCTGTGACTGGGGCCAGCCGCTTAATCTCTCTGTGCCTCAGTTTCCTCAACTGTCTGTAAAACAGAGATCGCATCAGCCCCACCCCGTGTGGTTCCCCTGAAGGTCCAGTGCTTCTCGTAGATGTCGCTAAATGTGGCCTCGTGTCTGCTCCTTGAGCATTCCCTGACGCCCCCATATGCCTGACCTTCTACTGGTTCTAGGTTCCTAGACTGGTGGGGAGACAGAGCTGGACACAGACACCGTCAGTCCCATGGTGTGGCAGTGAGAGGCACCAGGGCTGAGAGTCCGCAGTAAGGAGAGGAGGACTCTGGGAAGCAGGGAAAAATTGAGGATTACAAAACTGTGGGCATGGAAGCTGGGGTTTTGAAGGATGTATAGGAGTTTGAGAAATATACAGTTGACCCTTGAACAGCACAGGTTTGAATTACATGGGTCCACTTATATGCGTATTTCTTTCAAGAAGTACAGACTACAGTATTACACGATCCATGGCTGGTTGAATCCACAGATAGATAGAGAACCATGGATACAGAGGACCAACTGTACTTACATATGGATTTTTGACTGCGCAGGGGGTTGGCCCCCTTAACCCCCACGTTGTTGAAGGGTCAACTGTAATTTCACAGGGTAGGCTTTCTAGGCAAAAGGTACAGTATCATCAAAAGCCTGGAGGCTTGAATCAGGAACTGTAGTCCTATGTGACTGGGGCCGTATGCCCAATGTATGAGCAGAAGGGAAGATTCAGAGAGGGGCAGCCCCCCATCTCAGCCCTAGATAGCATCCCTTGGTCATGCTAGTAGACGACCCCCCATGACTCCATCTCCTGATAGGAACTACTTCATTGTGATGGTGCCACTGCGTAAATCTCGTGGTGGCCAGTTCCTGACCCCGCTGGGCAGCCCAGAGGAAATGGACCTGGAGGAGGTAAGAGCCAGTGGGGCCCAGACAACGTCCCAGCTTTCGTGAGCCCAGTTGCTCCCAGCCAGGTTCATGAGCAGCCCACATCTTTGTTCCCACAGCTGATCCAGGATATCGCACGGCTGCAGAGGCGCAGCCTGCGGCACTCGCGCCAGCTGGAGGCGCCCCGGCCCTACATCGCAGCTCGCTTCTCAGTGCTGCCACCCACCTTCCATCCCGGCGACCAGAAGCAGTACGGTGGCTTTGACAACAGGGGCTTGGAGCCTGGCCACCGATATGTTCTCTTTGTGCTTGCTCTGCTGCAGAAGAGCGAACCCGTAAGTCCCAAATGGTGTCTGCCCATATCGAGCCACACCCACTGAGTGAGGCAGGCCAGTCCCTAGGGCCCTGACCTCAGAACCAGACACAGATCCTCCTAACTGTGGTCAGAGTTGGGCAGAGGGAACGGTTTGAGATTGAGGGTATCACTCCCATAGGGAAGGTTTGTTAGAGGAAAGGACTTTGGAACTAGGGCTTTGACGGATATGTAGGAGTTCGGTAAAGAAAGGGCATCCCACAGTTTGCATGTGCCAAGGTCTGGGGTGCAAGAGGCGCAAAAGGGATTTCAGAGTGGCTGAAACAGAGTGAGGAAGGGGGAGAGTGAAGATTGGCAAGGGCCAGGCCACGTAGGCCACCAGGGTCAGGGTTCTTGGGAGCTGTAGGAGGGTTTAGAGTAGGGGATGGACATGGATTTGTGTTTGAGAAAGACCCATGTGGCCACCGTGAGGAGGACGGGCACTGATGGAGGTCCCCCCCACCCCATTCCTGCAGACATTTGCGGCAAGCCCCTTCTCAGACCCCTTCCAGCTGGATAACCCAGACCCGCAGCCCATTGTGGACGGCGAGGAGGGGCTCATCTGGGTGATCGGGCCCGTGCTGGCTGTGGTCTTCATCGTCTGCATCGTTATTGCCATCTTGCTCTATAAGAAGTGAGCCCCCTGCCCCGCCCCCCACTTGACAGGCGGGAAGCCTTCCTACAAAAGGAGGGGGGTCTGGAAAGATCCAGGGGGCAACGGTCATCTCAGAGGATCATCGCAGAAGGCCTGTATAGTCCAGACGGGGAAACCAGGGCTCAGAGAAATTAAGCCACCTGATCAAAGTCACACAGCCTGGGAAATGGCAGGGCTAGGGTTCCATCCATCCCAGCCGGTGATTTGACTCCTGTTAAGTCTGGCGCTCCACTCGGCAAGATTTGGGGTGGGGGCTGCCTCTGTCCAGTTTTAACGAGGTCACGTGGGACATGTCCCAGCTTAGAAAGAGAGGGCTGAGATGTTATTCCTTGTGGTGGGGGACCCACGCAGGAAGGATTAGCCCCATTTTCTGCAGGAGACCGAGACTCAGAGAGGGAAAGAAAGCCACCCACAGTCACAGAACAGGCCCTTGATGGCCAGCACACCCTCACCTGTCTTCTTTCTCCCCCCCCACTCCTCACCTATGTCTGTTTTCGGGAGCAGTAAGCCTGACAGGTAAGAACTGGTCCTGCCCTTTGGAGGCCAAGGAGGGGAACTGGGGTGGCGTCGTGCCTGTTGGGTGAGCGGGCGCCTGGCTGCTCCAGCCATTGCACACGTGTCTGTGCGTGGTCGTGGGAACCCCAGTTGCGTGCAGCTGGGTCACATGTTCGCGTATCTGCTTGCTCCTACAAAGTAAACGCAAGGACTCAGAGCCCCGCACCAAATGCCTACTGAACAACGCCGACCTCGCCCCCCACCACCCCAAGGACCCCGTGGAAATGAGACGCATTAACTTCCAGACGCCAGGTATGTGCTGATCCCAGGTGCCAGGGACGACAGCGACGGGGGAAGGGGAGAGGTAGCATAGGAAGAGAGGAAGCTGCCACCTCGGTGGATCCCGAGGACTGCCCCCACTGAACTGGGCTTGGAACTGTCATGGGTTGATTCTGCTTACAACCAAGGGAGGCTTTCGAAGAGTTGCATTTAACTGGTGGCTGCTGTCTTCTCTGGGAGCTTAAAGGACATCTTCAGACAAAGACAAAAGCTAAAGCTTTTCTGAATCCTCACGTCTTTTGGCAGAAAGAGCTCTGCTTCTGTTCACACCTCTAGTTTTAAGGCCACTCAGTGGTGGGTGTTAGGGTTTTTCCCAATCCCCAGGGATGTGCCCCTAGCAAGGTGTAAGAATTCCGCCTCCACCACACTCCGTCTCTCTCTCCCCTCCGTGGCCGCAGATGCTCATGTTCTCCCTGCCTCTTTATAGTTCCCTGTAGGTTAATAGGATTCAGCCGAGTCGCCTGCCATGCTTGGTGGGAGAACTGAATCAGGACCTTGCCCTTGATCATCTTCATGGGCAGTGGTCCTCTCATTCCCTCACCTCCTCCCTCTTTTTTTTCTTTTTGCGGTACGCGGGCCTCTCACTGTTGTGGCCTCTCCCGTTGCGGAGCACAGGCTCCGGACGCACAGGCTCAGCAGCCACGGCTCACGGGCCCAGCCGCCCGGCAGCATGTGGGATCTCCCCGGACCGGGGCACGAACCCGCGTCCGCTGCATCGGCAGGCGGACTCTCAACCGCTGCGCCACCAGGGAAGCTCCACCTCCTCCCTCTTAATGGGCTCATGCCAGCTGCTTCTCACCAAATAAGGAATTTTTAACTTAACTGATGGCCGCTGTTCTCCTTATGAGCTCACAGCATGGTAACGTCTGTCTCTCTGCTTGCACCCAGCTGTTCACTTCTTGTCTCTGAACTCGTTCATATTAACTCTTTCCAACCAAATGGAGATTTTAAAACATTTATATTGAACTGATGGCTGCAGTCCTCTTGAAGGGCTCATGCGTATAGCCTTGCACGCTATTCCTAATGTATTTATTTCTCTCTCTTTCCTGCTGCTGGACTGTCTCATGTTAGTTCCATGTTTATCCAAACGAGGATTTTGATCATTTATTTTAACTGATGGCTGCAGTCCTCCCTAAGAGATCATGAAAGGTCTCATGACACCCCTAATGTACTCCCTTCTCTTTTCTGTCTCTGGACCAGCTTATCTCAATTCTGTTTCCATCCAAATGAGGATTTTAAATGTGTATGTTTAAGTGATTGGTGCTGTCCTCCTTAAAGGTCACGACATGGGCTCGTATGTCCTTCCCCTGCCCCCAAGTTTCTCCCTCACCATCCTGCCTCTCCTCCAAAATCCCCTCTGCTGACCCCAACAGGGGACCCAAGGCCAGGTTGTTCTGGGGGGACACGTTGATAGAAGAGCCTAAAACTTTGGGATCTTTCCGAGGTCACAGCTGAAAATCAGGGCTGGCCAATGTCCAGCCGGAGGGAAGCACAGCAGCTGCCATTGGTTCTCTGGTTGGGGCCCAGGCGGCCGTGTGTCCCTCACTCGTTGCTCTGCCCTTTGCGTCTGTCCGCCGGCTGCTGTGCGTGCACCCAGCGAGGGGCGGGGGGAGGTGGCCTCCCCGCGTGTTTTCATTTATTTATTGTTTGCTGTTTCTGCAGATTCAGGCCTCAGCAGCCCCCTCAGGGAGCCGGGGTTTCACTTTGAAAGTTAGTTCCTGTGTCTCTCTGTTCTTAGCTTCCTTTCGCGCCTGTTTGTTTTCATCCTTGGTTTCTCCATCCCGCCTCCTCTCTCTCTGCCCACCTGTCCTGCGCTGGCTTCTCGAGGGGGGGCGGGGGTGTGGTCTGCCGGGCCCTGAGGTCTCGGGTTGTGACTGCGTGTGTGCGTGTGTGTGTGTGTGTGTGTGTGTGTGAGAGAGAGAGAGAGAGAGAGAGAGAGTCTAGGTGAGACATGTATGTACATGTAAGTATCGTCCATGTGATAGGGGACCCACCGGTCAAATGGACACCAGTCTCAGACCCCTTAGATGTGGGCTCTGGGGCAGCCCCCGGGGTGGCGGGGAACACGCAGGGGCTCAGACCAACAGCTCTTCACCAGCTGGCTCAGCACATCTTTATCGGTTTAACACCAGTGCTTTGGTGCTGGCGCATAGCCGTCAGCCTCCCTATATCTGCAGAGCGAATGTGTGAGCTCATGCATGGCCACCAGGCCCCAGGAGAGGCCAGGGGTCTGGCAGGCTCAGATATGGGGAGGAAAGAGCCACCCCCACCCCCCCGGGGGCTCCAAAGATAAGGGACGTCACCATCCCATGTACCAGATGAGAAAATGAGCCCTCAGAGATCAGGGGGTTCGTGGCAGCTGCCCCACCATCCAACACACACATACCCCCTGTCTCCCCTCCCCGGTCCCTCAGCTCCACCTGGCAGAGGACTTTTGGGTCCCTCTGATCCCCCAGGGGCCGGAAGGGGTACTGGCCTCCCGCCCCTGCCCCAGGGATGGTATTTCCGAAAGCCCAGCCAGCTGCATCCGCTTCTTCATCTCTGTGTCACTTGCCTGCTTCACGAGGCACCAGGAGCTTGAAGTCCTGGGCGCGTTGACCCTTCCCCAGCCCCTGCATCCCCAGCTGGTTGCAGGGGGGCACTGGGGAGGGAGGGCACTGGGAGCTGGGGCTCAGCCCAGAGCCGCTGCCTCGTGCTCCCCCCTTCAGCCCCGCAGGCCTGGGGTCCCTGCCCCCACGGGGGCTGCCCTGAACCTTCCCCTCCCCCGCCACTCCCTCTAACTGCAGCTCGTCCATTGCAGACTCACACTGTAGAGCACCCGCCCCCCCGGCCCCCGGGCTGGCCCCCGAGTGACCGGCCACGCCGTTGGGTCTTCTCTTCCCGCAGGCATGCTCAGCCACCCACCCATCCCCATCGCGGACATGGCAGAGCACACAGAACGCCTCAAGGCCAACGATAGCCTCAAGCTCTCCCAGGAGTACGAGGTGAGCTGGCCCCCACCTCCCACTCTCCCGGGCCCACAGACACCCACCCTGACACCCCCCCGCATCCCCTTCCCCACAGTCCATCGATCCGGGCCAGCAGTTCACGTGGGAGCACTCCAACCTGGAAGTGAACAAGCCCAAAAACCGCTATGCCAACGTCATCGCCTATGACCACTCTCGTGTCATCCTCCAGCCCATCGAAGGTAGCACGCGGGGCCCCAGGCTCCGTCATGCCCAGCCTCATTCCACAGAGAGCGCACAGACCCCATGCCTCCTCTTGGCCACGGGGCCAGGCCAGAGGGGACTAGCTAGGGGACGGGTGGGGAAACTGAGGCCTGGTCCAACGCTAGCCAGAAGCCACTGGGAAGTTTTAGATATGTATTTAACTGATGGCCGCTGTCCATTACATATTTCCATCTATTCCTCTACCGCAGTGACGCTCATCAGGGCAGTTCCACCACCCGGGACATTTGGCGATGTCTGGGGACATTTTTGTTGTCACGGCTTAGAGGAAGGGGGTGTTAGTGGTATCTAGGGTATAGAGGCCAGGGATGCTGCTCAATAACTTGCAATGCACAGGACAGCCCCTAGCACAGAATGATGCGGCCCCAAATGGCTATAGTGTCGAGGTGGAGAAACCACGAAGTACATGCCGCACGATTTCCTTGGGGACAGATTGGGGCGGTCCAGGAGGGCTTCCAGTAAGTGGGAAGCGGTGGACCAGGTGGAACCAGCCTAGAAGGACAGAGTGCCCCCACTGATCTCCGGCTTCTCACCCCGGCTGTAGGCATCGTGGGCAGCGACTATATCAACGCCAACTACGTGGATGGCTATCGGCGGCAGAATGCGTACATTGCCACGCAGGGGCCGCTGCCCGAGACCTTCGGTGACTTCTGGCGTATGGTGTGGGAGCAGCGCTCCGCTACCATCGTTATGATGACACGGCTAGAGGAGAAATCACGGGTGAGGCCTGGACCCTGTGGCCCCCAAGCCCTCAGTCGGCTCCGGCCCACACTCACCTCTGTTCTCTTCCCTGGTACAGATCAAATGTGATCAGTACTGGCCCAACAGGGGCACGGAGACCTACGGCTTCATCCAGGTCACCCTGCTGGACACCATCGAGCTGGCCACGTTCTGCGTGCGGACGTTCTCCCTGCACAAGGTGGGGCCCAGGCCGGCACTGGGGGCTCTGGGGAGGGGGTGATGGGGGTGGAGGAGGAAGACGAGCTTCTGCCCTGGGAGCTCCCCATGGGACAGAGAAGAAACCATGTTGTCCCAGGCTGACCACATTCTCAGGTGGCCCACTTCATGGATGGGGACACTGAGACTCAGAGGGGAACAGCTCTTGTCTCCAGCCACAGCAGGAGGACAAACCAGCAGAGTCCCACTTAGCAGTGAACCTGCTGTCCCCTTGCCATCAATCCTGCCCCACACACCAGGTCTTCCTTGCTCTCTGGCCTCACCCAGCCTGGGTTTATGGCAGGGTCTTGGCCATGCAGTCAAGGGGCTTCCAGTCTTGGATGGAAGACACAGTGGGCAGTTGAGACTGGGGCAGAGGGAGTCTTTAGATATGTATTTAACTGATGGCTGCTGTGCATAACATGGTTCCGTGTGTCCTTGTACATCAGTGGTTTTCAGTTGGGGCATTTTGCCATTCAGCGGACATTTGGCAATGTCTGGGGGCACTTTTAAAAATTTTTTTTATTGAAGTGTAGCTCATTTACAATGTTCTATTAATTTCTGTTGTCTAGCAAAGTGATTCAGTTATACATGAATATACATTCTTTTTTCGTATTCTTTTCCATTATGGTTTACCACAGGACATTGAATACGGTTCCTTGTGCTATACAGTAGGACCTTGTCGTTTATTCATTCTGTATATAATAACTTACATCTGCTGACCCCAACCCCCCACTCCTTCCCTCCCCTAACCCCCTCCCCCTTGGCAACCACAAGTCCGTTCTGTATGTCCGTGAGTGTGTTTCTGTTTCGTAGATAGGTTCATTTGTGTCAGTAGATTCTGCATATAAGTGAGATCATATGGTATTTGTCTTTCTCTTTCTGACTTCACTTAGTATGATAATCTCTAATGGCATCCATGTTGCTGCAAGTGGCCTTATTTTGTTCTTTCTTATGGCTGAGTTGTATCCCATTGTATATGTGTGCTACATCTTCTTTATCCATTCATCTGTCAGTGGACATTTAGGTTGTTTCCATGTCTTGGCTATTGTTGATAGTGCTGCTATGAACATAGAAGTGCATGTATCTTTTTGAATTGGGGTTTTGTCTGGATATGTGCCCAGGAGTGGGATTGCAGGATCATATGGTAGCTCTGTTTTTAGTTTTCTGAGGAACCTCCATACTGTTTTCCACAGTAGCTGCACCAACTTACATTCCCACCAACAGTGTTAGGAGGGTTCCCTTTTCTCCACACCCTCTCCAGCATTTGGTATTTGTGGAGTTTTCTAGTGATGGTCATTCTGACCTGTGTGAGGTGGTACCTCACTGTAGTTTTGATTTGCATTTCTCTAATAATTAGCGACGTTGAGCCTCTTTTCACGTGCCTCTTGGCCATCTGTATGCCTTCTCTGGAGAAATGTCTATTTAGGTCTTCTGCCCATTTTTCCATTGGGTTGTTTGTTTTTCTTGTCGTTGAGTCGTATGAGCTGTCTGTATATTTTGGAAATTAAGCCCTTGTCGGTCGCATCGTTTGCAGACTTTTTTTTGTACGTTGTCTTTTTGTTTATGGTTTCCTTTGCTGTGCAAAAGCTTGTAAGTTTAATTAGGGTTCCATTTGTTTATTTTTGTTTTTATTTCTAGTGCCTTGGGAGACAGGGGACGCTTTTTAGTGTCACGCTGGGGAGCGGAGGTGCTCCTGGTACCACAGTGTTCCCCTGGCCGCCAGCCAGGGCCTCTCAACATTAAGCATACATCTGGCCCAGGTGCCAGAAGACGGTCAACGGACACGAGGGGGTACAGATTTTCAGTTGATTCACACCTGAAGCACACACTGTGTGTCAGGCCCTTAGCTGGGCATCAGGACACCCAAAGTGTCCTGCTCTCGTGGGACTTACAGTCTAGTGGACAAGACACAGACAATAAATAGGTAAAACGACAGGAAATCTTACACATAAAACAGGGCAGAATAGAATGGGTAGTGGAGGACCTGCAGTTGGTGAGGAAGGGAGGAGATGTGGGGTAACAGCATTCCAGGCAGAGGGCACAGCCGTGCAAAGGCCCTGGGGCTGGACTGTGCCTGGGGTGTTTTAGGAACAGCCGGGAGTCCCGTGTGGCTGGAGCAGAGTGAGTGAGGGTGAGAGAGGGAGGAGGGGAGGGCAGGGAGGGGACGGGGCAGGTGGTGCAGGACTCTGTGGGCTGCAGGGGAGACTTGGGCTTTTACCCCCAGGGAGGGCTGTGGGCAGAGGAAGCAGAGGAGGGGCGGGACCTGACTTGGGTGCTCACCAGTGCCCTCTGTCTGCTGAGGTGGGAATAGACTGCGGTGGGGATGCCCGGGGACCAGGGTGACTGCTCTGGTCTGGATGGATGATGATGGGGCTGGACCAGGGTGGTCACCATGGAGGGGGCAAGTGAGAAGTGGGTGGGCTTGGGGTAGACTTTGAAGGCAGAGCTGACGGTGCTGACTGATGTCTTGGATGTGGGAAGGCAGGGGAGGGGAGTCAAGGGCGACTCCTAAATTCCGGCTGGAGTGCGTGGAAGGATGGCGCCGCCATCAGCTGAGATGGGGGGAAAGGGTTTGGGGAGAAAGTGGGGGGCACAGTGCTGGCCGCGTTGAGCGTGAGATGCCAGTGAAACTCCCAGGCAGAGACACCCCCCAAGCCCCAGGTCAGCCGGGCACCTGAGTCAGGCGCTCGGAGTAGTGGTGGTCTGGAGGTGTGAACGTGGACCCCAGCACGTGGGTGGTGGGCTGGGGTGACTGGCGGTGTCCCTTTGGCCCCCAGAACGGCTCCAGCGAGAAACGGGAAGTCCGGCAGTTCCAGTTCACGGCGTGGCCGGACCACGGGGTACCCGAGTACCCGACGCCCTTCCTGGCTTTCCTGCGGAGAGTCAAGACCTGCAACCCGCCGGACGCGGGTCCCATCGTGGTCCACTGCAGGTACCCCTGTCCCAGTCCCCTGCTCCCCGCTGCGCCCCGCCGCACCTACCCCACCCCCTTGCCCGGGGGGCCCCTGATGACCCTGCCTGTCTCCGCAGCGCTGGTGTGGGCCGCACGGGCTGCTTCATTGTCATCGACGCCATGCTTGAGCGGATCAAGCCGGAGAAGACGGTGGACGTGTACGGCCACGTGACGCTCATGCGGTCCCAGCGCAACTACATGGTGCAGACCGAGGACCAGTACAGCTTCATCCATGAGGCCCTGCTGGAGGCCGTGGGCTGCGGCAACACGGAGGTGCCTGCCCGCAGCCTCTATGCCTACATCCAGAAGCTGACCCAGGTGGAGCCCGGCGAGCACGTCACCGGCATGGAACTCGAGTTCAAGGTGGCCTGGGGGGTAGAGGTTGCTGTGGGCCGGCTGGGGGAGGGGGCTGAGCGGGAGATCAGAGTTAAGGGGACCAGAGGGTGGGGGGTTGGTGTTCCCCTGCCTGCCAGGCCCCTGTTAGCGCCCTGGCTGGAAACACACAGCCCACCCCATCCCTGAGGAAAGCAGGTTCCCAGCCGGAGGCTGTCCTGATGGTGGCCCCCCGTCCCCTCGTCCCTCGTCCCCACAGCGGCTGGCCAACTCCAAAGCCCACACATCCCGCTTCATCAGTGCCAATCTGCCTTGTAACAAGTTCAAGAACCGCCTGGTCAACATCATGCCCTACGAGAGCACACGGGTCTGTCTGCAGCCCATCCGGGGCGTGGAGGGCTCCGACTACATTAACGCCAGCTTCATCGATGGCTACAGGTACCTGCCCCTGGCCGCTGCAGGGGCCCTGGCCTTTGCCGGGCGATGCTGAGGCTCCAGAAAGGTCCCAGCCCTGCCCTCGGGGGGGCCTCCAGTCTTGCGTGGGACAGAGCTAGACGGACCTTGCCAGTCTCAGTCACAGCTGAGGTGGAGGGAATCTTTAGACATCTATTTAAGTGATGGCTGCTGTCCGTAACATGGTTCTATCTGTCCTCCTCTATCAGAGGTTCTCAATCTGGGCAATTCTGCCACCCAGGGGAAATTTGACCGCATCTAGGGATGTTTGGATGGTCATAACGGGAGTGAGGGAGGAGGATTACTGCTGGCATCTCAGGGGCAGAAGCCAGGGGTGTTGCTTAGCGCCCCACGGTGCACAGAACACGGCCCCATCACAAAGAATCATCCAGTCCCGAATGTCGGTAGTGCCGAGGCTGAGAGAAACCCTGGCCAAGGGAGGCTGTTCCAAGGAGGGGGTACTGCCTGTGCATAACCCTAGGGAGAGCTTGGCCTGTGCAAACAACGGAAATTAGTTTAATGGTACCTGAGTGCAGGCAGAGGGGGAAGGCAGGACAGGTCAGCAGACAGCCCTGCAGCCTCCTGGAGAAGCGGGAATCTATCCTCGGGCTGATGGTCTCTCCATGTGGAAAATGGGATTATTTGGAGGGTTGAACTGGACAGGGAGGGAGATGATGCCTGGGCCGGGGTTTCCCCGTGGCCCTGGACTCACACACACCCCGCCCCGCAGGCAGCAGAAGGCCTACATCGCCACGCAGGGGCCGCTGGCGGAAACCACGGAGGACTTCTGGCGCATGCTCTGGGAGAACAACTCAACCATCGTGGTGATGCTGACCAAGCTGCGGGAGATGGGCCGGGTGAGCCGGGGGCCGTGGGGGGAGGGGCGGGGGCGGGGCCAGGGGCGGGGGGCGGGGCTGACCACGGCAGCCACCTCCCCAACAGGAGAAATGTCACCAGTACTGGCCGGCCGAGCGCTCCGCCCGCTACCAGTACTTCGTGGTGGATCCGATGGCGGAATACAACATGCCTCAGTACATCCTGCGGGAGTTCAAGGTCACAGACGCCAGGGTGAGTTTGGGGTCGGAGTGCTGGGAAGGACCAGAACCCGGGCCGGACCCTACGGGCTGCTCACCGTTCCGCTAGTGGTCCGGAGAGGGCTTCCCTAGTTGGGGGTAGAAGCAAAGGCCCAGGGGAAGGAGAAGCCCCCAGGGCTGGTTGGAAGAAGAGTGAGTTGGCCATTTGGACAGTCACTCCCACCACCGAGTGGGGGGAAGAGAGGGCCTTGACCCCATGGCCTGCCCGTTGGGGCGTGCGTCACACCACTCACTAGGGAACACGGCCCAAGGCGATCATGTTCAAGGGAGTGAGTGGGGCGTTTCCCTGGAAGCAACAACCCATGGGAGGGTAGTAGCGCTAGAGGGCTGAAAGCGGGCTGGGGGAGAGGTAATGGATTGATGGTGCCGGATGGTGGCCGACGCTGCCGTAGATGGAAAAGAGCAGAGGATCCACGGGTGGCGTGATGGGGCGTGGGAATGTCAGTCAAGATGTTGCCAGTGGATGGCAAAGCCCGATGGGTAAAGAGCATCGTTAGTCGTCATGCGTGGGTAGCGCATACAGCGCTGTTGGATTGGTGGAGTGGGGGGATTGGAGGATCAGTGGAAGATGTTGCTGTTGGGTGGTAGTGGAGGAGGGTGGTAAACAAGGATGGTGTTGGACGGGAGGAAGGTGGGACTGGAGATTGGAACGTGTGGATAACAGGATGGAGAATGCCAACAGAACGTGGGTTACTACGGGTTAGTGAAGGGTGACGTGTTATCAGCAACGGGTGGAGGGAGGTGAGGTTGGAGAGGACAGATGTTTGGCCGGTGGCGGATGGAGACGATCAATGGGAAATGACTTTGGAGAGAGTAAAGAATGACGAACATTCAGCGATCAATGGTAGTAGACAGTGCTGCTGATGGTATAAGGTAGAGGAAGGTGGGGCTGGAGGAAGGAAGTGTTAGGTGGTGGAGGATGGAGACCATCGGGGTAAGACGGCATCACTGGATGGCACCATCTTGATGCAGAGACCGTGACTGACTGGGAAAAGGTAGATGACGAGTAAAGGACGGTGGTGTGAACGTCAGTGGAAGATGGTCCTTAGAGGGGGAAGAGTGCTGAATTACTAGGGACGGATTATGGAAGATGGTACCATTGGGTCGGGATGAATGGAAGGTGGCAGAGAGCCATGATGTTGGATGGCCCTGCTGGGTCGTGGGAAGGTGGGATTGGCGAGAAGGACGGTTGAGTGGTAGGGATGGAGTACGTCAGTGGGAGGCGGCATCGTGGGATGCTCAAGTACTGAGTTACCCGCAGTGGATGGTGAAAGTTAGGAGGTAACGGTGTTGGGTAGCGCGGGTGGAAGGTGAGCTTCCAGTGGTGGCTGGTGGAAGATGGCGCCCTGGGGTGGTGAAGGATAGTAGATGATGGCGCTGGTGGGTGGTCGAAGACAATGGGCAGCCAGTGGTGGGGGATGGAAGACGGCACCCCTGGAAGGTGAGGGTACGGGGCAGTGCTCTTGTACTCTGAGATGGTGCAGAGTGGAGGATGCCAGGGAGCTGGAGAATGGGACCAAGAAGGGCAGACGTGCACTCTGGGACGGCAGACAGCAGTGGTGGATGGGATTGGAGCTGTGCAGAGAGGGGCAGTTCGCGGGTGGGGGGGCGGTGAACGATGGCCCTATAAGGTGGTGTCACTGGATGGTGAAGTTAGAGGATGAGCATGGCGTCCTCGGGTGGTGAAGACGAGATTGGAGCATCTCAGTGAAAGATGGTGCCCTTAGACAGTGTAGGACAAGGAGTCGTCAGGGTGGAGGGTGGAAAATGGGGCGGAGGATGGGGAAGGACGGAGGGTGGTGTTGGCTGGTGGTGGAGGATGGGACTTTGGCGAGGGTGGGAAAACAAGCGTGACCACCACTGACCTTGAGAACAAGACTGGGCTCCCTCTCTGTTCCAGGATGGACAGTCCCGGACTGTCCGGCAGTTCCAGTTCACGGACTGGCCGGAACAGGGCGTGCCCAAGTCGGGGGAGGGCTTCATAGACTTCATCGGCCAAGTGCACAAGACCAAGGAACAGTTTGGCCAAGACGGCCCCATCTCTGTCCACTGCAGGTGAGCTGCTCCCCGAGCCCCGGCCCATGGCCCGGCTAGGGAAACCGAGGCCTCGTGAGGACGGCCTCAGGCACTCCCGTTTGGGCTCTTTCCATCCCTGGGAGGCATCGGAGCAGGAGGGACGGGAATCGGGCAGTTAGGTCAGGCTCCCCCAAGCACTGCCCCTGAACTCCCGCACTGTCCCCAACAGCGCCGGCGTGGGCAGGACGGGCGTCTTCATCACGCTCAGCATCGTGCTGGAGCGGATGCGGTACGAAGGCGTGGTGGACATCTTCCAGACCGTGAAGATGCTGCGGACCCAGAGGCCAGCCATGGTGCAGATGGAGGTGAGGGCGGGACGGGAGGCGGCGGCCGGGCCCCATGCCGGTGCCGGCCCGGGCCTCTGTGTTCTCCCCTGTGAGATGAGCACAGCCACTCTCCACTCTCTGGGTGCTTGTGGGTGGAAGGTCCTCAGCCCCTCCTGCTTTGGGCTGACCCAAGAGTAAGCTGAAGGCCAGAGCTGAGAAGCGTCCCTTGGAGTGGGCAGGGATGCGTCCGTCCCGGCCCCAGAGTCACAGCGAGGTCAGGCTCAGCCAGGACCCCGGCACGGGCCACGAAGCCTGAAGTGAGGCCCAGAGCAGGGAGGGACTTCCTGCCATCAAGTTCACATGGGACATTTTAACAATGTCCTCCAGGGACTTCCGTGGCGGTCCAGTGGTTAAGACTGCGCTCCCAATGCAGGAAATATGGGTTGGATCCCTGGTCGGGGAACTAAGATCCCACATGCCCTGCGGCACGGCCAAAAAAAAGAAAGAAAATTAAAAGCAAAAGAAAAACCAGTGTCCTCCAAACTCTCCCGTCTCTGGGGAGACAGAGCTGGAGTGGCAGCCTGCCAGCCCCCCGGGGGGTGTCGCAGGGCATGGCTAAGCGGCCGCGTCCTAAGAGATGAGAAGGCGAGAGCCCAGCGAAGGCGCAGGCTGCTCTGGGGGTCCCGGGGAGCCCTGGGCGGCTTCAGAGCAGGAGAGGCGCTGACAGAGGCCCACCCCTCCCCTCCCCTACGCAGGACGAGTACCAGTTCTGCTACCAGGCGGCTCTGGAGTACCTCGGGAGCTTTGACCACTATGCAACCTAGAGCCTTGTCGGCCCGGCCCGACTCCAGCGGCCCCGACGCCTCCCGTGCCGGGCGGGCCCCGAGGCCTGGACCCCAGTGGCCGGGACAGGAGGCGGCGGCCGTGTTTCCGCAGGGTCTCCGGGAGCGACGCGGCCCCTCAAGCCCCCAACCCCCGCGTGGCCCCAGCCAACCCCCCCTGGACCGGCCGCCGCCTTCGCTACTCGGCACATTCCTCATTTCCTTCCAGAACGAGATTCCAAAACGAGAGATTCCGGGGTGGGGGGAGGGGGGAGGCGGTGAGCAAAAGGGGGTTCTTCCCCAGAACCGGAGAAGGGCGGGGGCTGTGAACTTGGCCCTCGTCCTTCCCCGGGGAGCCTTCCTGCCCCACAGCCTGGAGGGCGCCAGGGATGGGGACCCGATGCAGCTCTCTTTCGAACGCAGTGACATTTCCTGTTTTTTTAAATAGTGTATTTTTTTTTCCTTTTTTTTTTTTTTTTTAAAGAAGAAACAAACGGGGAAAACAAAGAAGACTTGACAGTCAACGAATTTAAAAGGAAAAACTTGGCTTATTCCTATTCTGTTCACAGACAGTCAGTCTATTTTTTCACTGTAGCAGCCGTTCTCGTGTACCAGCTGTGTTGGCAGGCGTGCGCGGGCTTAAGCTTGCCCCTGTGGCTTGCTTTTTTTTTTTTTTTTCCTACCATCTGAAGGTGTGCCTCACTCAAGAATAGGACCTTTTGCTCCTGATTTTTTTTTTTTTTTTTTTTTTTTTTTTTTTTTTGCTTCTTTTATAATGAAATTCTCAGACATATCCAGGAGGGTGAGGGTGGAGAGCAGGGGGACTCGGGCCCACCAGCGTCAGGTCTCGAGCCCACGGGCTGGGCGCTGCCACAGAGGAGATGGCAGCGACCCCCCCCTCCCCGCAGCCTCAGCCCCCATCCCCCGGTCTCCTACCCCGAGGAGAAGGACTGAACAAAACGGGAGGTTCTCACTTCTTTGGGGAGAGAGAGGCCACGTGCTGCCCCAGATCAGGGACCCTTTCCGCCCCCTGGGACCATGGGGCAAGTTTTGGGGCAGAAGGATGGGATTCCCCCCCCCCCGCCCCCACCCCTGAGCAAGTAAGTTTTTCTCTTTGTACAAGAGCAGATCTGCCGTTGCTTTCAACACTGTTTATTCAAACGGAAGCAGCTGGGTGGTTTTCCCACCTCTGTGTATGTAGATAAATCGACTTTGTATTAAAGGAAGATCGTCTGACCCCGGCCAGTGGTGGAGTCTTTGTCAAGCCCCCACCTCGTCTACCCCATCTCCCTGGGGCAGCCGGGGGCCTGGAGAGCTTGAACGCAAACCCCAAGCCCTGGCCCTGCAGGGGCTGCCTTATTGATGATTGATAGTTACTCTTGTTGATAACTGTGAGCATCTACCATGGGCCAGCCCTCTGAGGTGGGAGTCGACCCAACTTACAGATGAGGAAACAGAGAGGGCAGGCACCAATGCAAAGTCACACAGTGGTTTGAAGTGGACCTGAGATTCATACCCCAGCCAGTCTCATCCACAGCCCACAGAAGGGTCAGTGATAAAGCTGAGTCCGTGGAGGGCTATTCTTCCCCACGCTCTAGGCCACCCAGTGAGTGGACCCTACTCTGAGCCAGAGTCAGACCCTGGAGGATGGAGGGTGAGCCATTCTGGGTCCACAGCCATGCTTGGGGCCCTTCCCCATCTGGCTTAAGACCCTGAGATGGATGAAAGATTCCCCCTGTTCTCACAGAGATGCTCCAGGGATGAGAAGAGGGTCTTAGGGAAGGGGCCCAGCCTAGGAAAGAGTGGGGTCATCCCTTTTAGAAGCACTCAGATCCAGTAGTCAGTAAGTAAATCAAAAAAGTGATCACCACCATTAATAAGCTCAAATAGATTTACCAAACCCCATATCCCCACCCCTAAAATTCTCAAACACATATGGAACATTTATAAAAATCATCGTTAATAAAAATCAGCAGTGGAGATGTTCATGGATTTCAAGAAACAAATATTAGATAAGATAACCTGATCTTGGCCCCAGGATTAGACTCTGTAATAGTCAGACTCCCCTGAAAAGGCCTACAATGAGAAATTTTAAAAACATGTTTCTGAATGAGGCATGAGTTAAGAAGGAATCAACATAGAAATTACAAGAAACTGAACGATTCAGATAGTACCTTATGTAATGAAACCTGTGGGATGCAGCCAAAGGGATACCCAGAGGAAAACCATAGCCTTGAACATGTTGATAAGAAAACAAATTCTGAGAACAAGCCCACTTTTAAAATACATGAACCAAACTTTCAGTTCAAGTAGCTCTAATTGGGCATGACTGAGGTTCTTTTGCATTAACAGAATAAAAACCTTTCTTTAAAAACAGCATAATAGATAAGTCTCAGGCAAGTACAGTCAAGAAAAGAGAACATTCAAGTCCAGGAAAATGGGGAAAAACATTAACTACAGATTGAGGCTTTTTTAAAATTGTGAGATGCGTATCAGGGGAGACAAGCAGGAAAGACAGTAGAGAGGGAGGGATAGTGGGAGTGATAGCAGAGCTGACATGGGAGAAAAGTCCCTCACTCTCCCCCTGTGGGATGGTGGGAAGAGCAGGCAGTAAAGAGAGGAAGGTGAAGAAATAGCATGTAAAGGACTACATTTAGTAGCCTCTGAGTTCTGAATTCAAGAAGTAGTGGAGGGGTCCTCTTCTTAGTAATAGACTGGGGGACCAAAGGGATAGAAAAGTTAGAGTCTAACCCAAGCCTGGTCCTACCTAAATTATCCAAGACTTTATCAACAGGCTTCTCTGCCCATAGGACTTCTACTCAGTCCTCAAAGCCCAGTACTAAAAGCTCCTCTAAGAAGGCATCTCTCATTTCCCTTCTCTGTTTCACTCAAGCCCACTGAGGCTAAGGTGTCTGAATAGGATCTCCCTTGCCCTCCTTGAGTGTGTGACCCTTAGCTCTGAGGTTCCTCCCTTGAGATGCTCATGGCTATAGTTGGGGGTAGGTGGTGGCAGACGGGGATTTATCTGATGAATTCCTGGGAGAGGAAGGCCCTGAGGAATTGCCTCAACCCACTAACAGGAACACCAAGACCTTGACCCTCCATAGCATTCCATAACATCCATCCCCCATTTATTGGGCATTTACTGTATGCTTGGCTCGTACAATCTCAATCCTTCTGACAATGCACCAATGGACAGGTGGGAAAACGGAGGCTCAAATGGGCCAGGTTTCTTACCCAAGATCACACAGATGGTAAGTAGTGGAACCTGGACGTGGGCCCAGATCTGGCCAGTTCCCACGGTGATAGAAAGTTCAAGACATCTAGGCCTCCAGACCACAGTCACATCAGCACCAAGCTGAGAGGGACAGGGTCCTAGAACAGAGCCCCACCTCCCATCAGCAAGGACCTATGAGGGGCCAAAGCATTCTAGTGCTCTGGAAAGTGCAAATACCCTAAATACACACTTTGTCCCTAACTAATAACATCACTTTGAAATGTTTAAAACTAAAATACCCATGAGGAGAAATGAACAGAACTACAGTGATGCTGGATGCTGAAGCTAACTCAGAAATGGAAAGACCAAACTGACAAAATAATAAGGATCTTGAGATGAATAATGCAATAGCAAACTCGAGCAAATGGATACATACAGGACTATGTGCCCAGCAAATAAAGAATGTATGTTCTGTCCAAACATTAAGAGCCCATCGCCAAAAAAAAGGACCATGAATTAGACCATAAAAAAAAAAAAAAAAGTTCAGGCTTCACTCACTAGCCACAATGCAATAAAATTATAAATCAGTGATGACATGTAGCTCCTCGAATTTACATAGGTGGAAGTGTTAACAAATGAGTCAAAGATAAGCCATACATAAATTACAAAGCATTTAGAACTGAATGATTAGACAACTGCAAATTAAAACCTTTGGGATGTAACCAAAAATGTACTCGGAGGTAAATTCAAAGTTGTAAGTGCATTTATGGAGGGAGGGAGATCACTGCGTATAAATGAAATATGTAGTCAAAGAAAGTACTCAGGGAAAATACATAGCCTTATATGAATTTATAAGGAAAATAACTGAAAATAAACTAGTTAAGCTTTCAACTCAAGCACCCACAAAAGGACAAATAAACCCAAGGAAAGTCAAGGGAAAACATTATTAAGAAAATCTGAAATTAGTGAAACGGGAAAGTACAGTAACAATAACAAAATAATATAAAAAGCTGGATCTTTGGAAACACCCATAAAAGAGGAAAACCTTTGGCAAGAAGACATCACAAATAAATGTTAAGGATGACAGAGGAACCAACAGTTCTTACAAGGGAGATATTTTAAAGGATGAGCATATACTACATATATACAACTTTATACCACTAACTGTATAAATGATAAAATAGGAAAAAATCTAAGAAAACCAGGTCATTAAAAAGTGGATAACCTTCAAAAACATGGAAATGATGGTCAAAGATCTAGCCGCCGTACCAGGCACCTTCCCAGATGGTTTTTCAGGTGAGTTTTGCCAAATCTTCAAGAAAAAGATGATTTGAATCTTTTATAAGCTATGTCAGCTTACAGAGGGAAAAAAAGAGATAGTACTCAAACTGTACAGGACAAGCCAAGAAAAAAAAAATCTATCCCACTTATGTGCCTAGATTCAAAAAGGCTAAGAAAATACTAGCAATGCAAATCTAGCGTCTCTTCAAAAGAATAGGATGTTATGATTCAATGGGGAAGGATTTATGGAATGCAAGGATGGTTTAACATTAGAAAGCCCACTCAAAGTTAGAATAAATTGTTACCTTGGAGAGCAAATTGACAGTATCTAGTAAGCTGAAAATGTACATAATCTTTTGACTCAATAATTCCACTCCTACACATCTTACAGAGACTTGTTTTGGGCAGATGTGGCCAAGGAGACATGCAGAGGTTTGTCCATAGTGGAATTATTTGTTAAAAAAAGGACACTGTATAATACATTTTTATTATAAACAAAAAATAAATTTAAAACCTGGAAATAATATTTTTATTTTATAAAGGATTGGAATCAAATACCCACCAGCAGGAAGAGGGTGTGGAGAAAAGGGAACACTCCTACACTGCTGGTGGGAATGTAAACTGGTACAGCCACTATGGAAAAACAGTATGGAGGTTCTTCAAAAAACTAAAAATAGAGTTGCCATATGATCCAGCAATCCCACTCCTGGGCATATACCCAGACAAAACTATAATTCGAAATGATCATTCACCCCTATGTTCATAGCTGTACTACTTACCATAGCCAAGACATGGAAACAACCTAAATGTCCATCAACAGATGAATGGATAAAAAAGATGTGATACACACACACACAAACCTAAACGTCCATCAACATGAATGGATAAAAAAGATGTGATTCAGACACACAGACACACACATACACACTAGAATATTACTCAGCCATAAAAAAAGAATGAAATAATGCCATTCGCAGCAACATGGATGGACCTAGAGATGATCATTCTAGGTGAAGTAAATCAGAAAGAAAAAGACAGATACTGTATGATATCGCTTACATGTGGAATCTAAAATATAACACAGGGACTTCCCTGATGGTGCAGTGGTAAAGAATCCGCCTGCCAATGCAGGGGACACAGGTTTGAGCCCTGGTCCGGGAAGATCCTACATGCCGCAGAGCAACTAAGCCTGTGCACCACAACTACTGAGCCCACATGCCACAACTACTGAAGCCTGAGTGCCTGGAGCCTGTGCTCTGCAACAAGAGAAGCCACCGCGATGAGAAGCTCACACGCCACAACAAAGAGTAGCCCCTGCTCGCCACAACTAGAGAAGGCCCGCGTGCAGCAACAAAGACCCAACACAGCCAAAAATAAATAAATAAATAAATTTTTAAAATAAAATATAACAGAAATGAACATGTCTATGAAACAGAAACAAACTCACGGATGTAGAGAACAGGCCTGTGGTTGCCGAGGGGGGAGGGGGAAGGGGTGGGGGAGGGGGAGGGGGTGGGGGAGGGCAGGATTAGGAGTTTGGGATTAGCAGATGCAAACTATTATATATAGAATGGATAAACAGCAAGGTCCTACTGTATAGCACAGGGAACTGTAGTCAATACCCTGTGATAAACCATAATGGAAAAGAATATGAAAAAAATATATATATATATAATATACATATAACTAAATCACTTTGCTATACAGCAGAAATTAACACAACATTGCAAATCAAACTATACT